CTAAGACTCAGTGACTGGGAAGGAGCAAATCTGGGGCAGGGCTGGCGAGAGTGCTACTGGGAGAGGGCTCAGCATGTGCAATGGCCTGAAGAAAGAGTAGCGGGCAAGAGGAGCAAAGTGGTGAGAGACAAGCGCCTTGTAGGAGCTTGGATTTTGAGCTAAGAGAAGTGGAACCCACTGAAGGGCTTTAATAAGCAGGACAGCAACAAGATCTAAGTAATGTTTGTAAGACTGAACTCTGGCTTGTGGGTGGAAATTAGATTCAGGAGGGACTAGGTAGAAAGGAGACCAATAAGGAGACTGAAGCAATATGAAGGAAAGCAGGAAGAGAGGAGTGGACAGGTGAAATGAACACCCCTCAAGGCAGAAGAGGATCCAAGCCCCAAGAGAGTAAGTAAAAAGTTAGTGCTTTGGGGGTCAGACTGGGGTGAGAGGACATGAGAGCAAGGTAGAGTGTGACTGAAGAAAGCTTTAGGCAGATATTGCCTTCTGGTCAGTGTGCTGGTGTTGATATTTTAATAACAACAATAATAATAATTGTTGTTAGTTGTTGTGCACTTGATTCTGGTTCTTGGCTACTCCGGCTGTGCAGAGTAGAACGGTACTCCATAAGGTTTTCAAGGCTGTGACCTTTCAAAAGCAGTTTGCCAAATCTGACTTCCAAGGTGCCTCTGTTATTGTTGTTAATTGCTGTCCAGTCAGTTCTGACTTCTAGTGACCCTGTATAGGATTTCCAAGGAGCGGCTGGTGAGTTTGAACTGCCGACCTTGTGGTTCAATTCAAGCCAGCCTTGCTGTCCAGTGCTTATCCTCTAGTGCCACACCAGGTGCCTCTGGGTGGGTTCAAATGACCAAGCTTTCAGTTACTTCTTGAGTGCCTAATCATTTGTGCCACCCAAGGACTTCAAACAATAATAATAGCATTTACCATTTACTATGTTACTCAATGTTCCAAGCACCCTACATGTATTTTACACAATGTTCAAAACAATCTCATTTTGTCGTTAAAGAGAAAGTGGCTCAGAGTGGAAGCAGTTCTCTTGAGGTCACACAGCTGACAAGCACAAGAGCAGAGATGTGAGTCATGTACGCTGGACATCAGAGGCTTCCACTGCTCTACTGCCTGACCGGGTCAGATGGTGTGAAGGGGCATTCCCAGGAAAAGACGAGCAATGGGCTCAGGACTGTGAGGGGTGAGACCAGGAAAGGGACGTCTCTGGCAGCCTGGGAAGGGCTAGGCAGCTTGGAGACCAGGGGGTATTACCAGCTGTTACAGACAGTGAGTTCTAGATGCGTCAGGCCTATGCGGCACAGTCATGCTTCTGACCCAGTGAATAGGTAAGGGGTCAAGAGGCAGGAAGCAGGATCTGAAACAGGCCCTGGCACTGGGCTCTGGCTTCCCACAGAGGGACATTGTCCACCGGCAGCAGGTGTGCCCAAGGTACTGGCGGGGTCCTTCCCAAGAGGCCTTCCTGGCTTCCAAAGCATTTTACTTGTTGGCGCTCAGGGACCTTGGTATGTTTGCCAAAAGCATTTCACCTTGTTCCTCTTAAAAATAGCAGGAAGAGGTCAACCTACCATATGCTGTGTGACCTCAGGATTGCCCCTCTCTTGTCCCTGCTGCAGAGAGAGTTAAGATTTGCCCATTTCAATGGCCCTCCCACCTCTAAAGGCCCAACTCCATGCTTCTAGACTGAACTGGGCACCAAGGACGATATCACAGGAGTTACAAGGTAAGGAAGATGGCGTGGTGGTTAAGACCAGGTGTTCTGTGCCAGATGCTTGAGTTCAAAGACTTGCTGTCACTCCTTGTTGAGTTCCAAATGCCTCCAGTAGAATCAGGACTGTGGATGACTATGCAGGTTAACTAAGGCAAGACCTGTACAAAGGCAGTGGGTGATAGGGACCCTGCGAGGCCTCTCACATGTGCCCTTGGTTCAAGGTTGTTGTTGTTAGATGCCATCCAGTTGGTTCCAGCCCATAACAACGCTATGCACAACAGAACAAAACACCACCTGGTCCTGCGCTATCCTCACAATTGGTGTTACACTTGAGCCCATTGCTGCTGTCCCTGTGCCAAGCCATCTCCTTGGGGATTTTCCTCCTTTTCGCTGACCTTCCACTTTACCAAGCATGATGTCCTTCTTCAGGGACTGATCCCTCCTGATAATATGTCTGAAGTATGAGAGATGAAGTCTGGCCATCTTGGCTTCTAAGGAGCATTCTGGTTGTACTTCTTCCAACACAGGTTTGATTGTCCATGGTACGTTTAATGTTCTTCAAGGTTCAGCTTCAGTATTTGTTCACTCTACAAACATTCACTGAGATCCCTGAAGGAACAAGCAAGGCAAAGTCTGTGCTAATTGCTGCAGAATGAGTGAATGCCAGCCTGTGTTAAGGGCCTACACCTTAGTCATGCTCTTGGAAGCTGTGAGGAATGACCCACTATTATTGCCATTTTATAGATGAGGAAATTGAGGCCCAGAGAAGTGAAGTACTTTCCCCAGGGACATATGCAAGAAAGTGACAAAAATCAGATCCAAACAGATACTCTTTAGTGAATTAATGACTGGAAGTGTGAATCCTTGGGCGCATTGAAGAATACGGGGTGGGCAAAGCTATTCCTCCCTTTCCCCAAGTTAATTATCTTGACTAAACTATGATCATCATGTACCTACAAAGGTGCGTCCTTTTACAAATAATAACACCTACTGACGTTTACCAAGCACTTACTGTGTTCTAGGACCCGTGCTCTATATACTGTGCTTCCCTCTGCACACTGGGAAGGAAGTGCTCTCATCACTCCCAGTTCATAGACAAAAAAGCTGAAGCTCAGAGAAGCTAAGGAATATGCTCCAAGTCACACAGCACAGAAGTAGTGGGGTAGGACTCAGATTCCATTGGTCCCCAGGACACCCTGTATCTGCCACACTGTGGAGACATCCCCAGGTGGGTTTGGAGGCTGAGTTCTGGTTTGAATCCTGACTCGGCCATCTGCTCCAGGCTGTTTCCCATGACAAAGTCAGGATAAAGATGTTGACCCACTGCTACACTCAACGAGTCCCAGTCCCATCGTAAATACTTAGCCCCTCGTCACAGCTACTGTTCCCATGTTGTCCATGGGAGTTCCTGCCCATGAGTCAGGGAGACCATTGCATGGCCTACACTGTGCCTGGCCCAGCCCCCATGCCAAGAGCCCCAGCATCCCACTTGCCCCTCCTGCCAGGCCAGACCCTCCTTTCTGTAAACTCAGGAAGCTGGTGCCCCAAGGCTGTCTCCGGGCAGGGCTGTGGTTCACAGCTAGCCACAAATATTTACCTTGGAGACCTTGGACTGCCCTGAGGCCACTGCCAAAATGTAAGGGGTGGCCTCCCAGGCTGAAGTGTGCAGGATATAAGGCTGAACTTGTAGCTCTCTGATCGGAGAGGCAATCGGTCCGGAAAGAACTTTTGCATATCCAGGTAAAGTGCAAGAAAGGGCCCTGAAGCCTAGATGCCAGGAAGATTCTGAGCTAGAGATATCGGAGCAGAAGTGAGGCTGGTCCTTGGTCAACCAAGACCCTCTGAGGGTCAGGATCTATGGTGGAGAGCTGCCCAGCTCCCTGACCCATAGACCAAAGAGCGGTGCTAAAGGGACCAGACTGGCTGACTCTTTTCCTGAATTTGACCCCCAGGTCATAGGCCTGCTCTGCACACACGGATTGCTCTGTACCCCAGTTTGTGCTGAGACAAGAGAGGGACAAGGAGAAAGGCACTTGCAGTAGGAGCCAACGTGGTACTCAAAGAAAACCAGGGACACAGTAGAGGGTAGTCACGGAAAGCTTCCTAGAGGAGGTAATATGTCCGTTGAGAAGCTGAGTTTTGAAGCTGATTAGGCTAAGAAAGGAGTCCTGGTGTGGCCTTGGGAGTTACTGTGCTGAACTGCAAAGTCGGCAGTTCAAGCTCTCACCAGCTGCTCCTTGGAAACCCCATACAGGTTTGCTATGGGTTAGAACCGACTCGATGTCGCTTAACAACAACAGGAGAAAGAGAAAGAGAAAGGCAAGGGGAACAGCATAAGCTGCTTCCACCACTTGGAATTCTATCAGATCACTCTCATTCATGCCCCCAAGGCAACATTTCTCCAAGTGTGGGCTGAGCTTCTTGCTGGAGATGGGAAACTTTCAGAGGAGATGCTACCTGGACAGGGTTTTTAAAGATGAACAGGCAGAATGTGGTGCTGTAGGATCAGCACTAGACTGCAAACCACAAAGTCGGCAGTTCAAACCCACCAGCCACTCCTCAGACACCCTGCACAGAGTCACTTTGAGTCAGAACTGGCTTCACGGCACTTAGCAACAAAAACAACAGGCATTTGAGGATGAGAGAAAGCACTCCAAAACAAGGGGAAAGGCCCAGCACAGGAAAGAACCAGGCATGTTCTGGGAACCTATAAAGGCTGGAACTCTATAGAGCAAGAGAAGGAGGGAAGGGGGAAGTGGGGTTGAGTGAAGTTGGGTCATTGGTTGTTATTGTGAAGTGCCATCGAGTCAGTGCCAACTCATAGCAACGCTGTATAAAGTTTCCGAGGAACAGCTGGTAAGTTTGAACCGCCAACCTTGCGTTTCAACCAAACTGGACCGCAAAGTCGGCTTGAACTGAAGGTTGGTGGTTCAAACTCACCAACTGCTCCTGAGAAACCCCATACATGGTCACTTTGAGTCAGAACTGATTCAACAATAACATTAAGTAGGTGTCATGTCCATTTGTCAGATGAGAAAACTGAGGCACAGAAAGGTCCCTTGCTTGTCTAGGTCCACACATCTAGCAAGCAGCAGAGCAGAGTCAGGCAACTGAGCCCACACTCCTAACTACTGCCCTAAACACCTCTCCTGGGCCCCATGCTCCACCTCACCAGGCATAGCAGGCCTCCTGTTGGCCTCTCTGCCCAACCAACAAGGCCTTCTGTACTCACTCCAGGCTCTGACATCTGCCACGTACTGCTTACCCACCCTTCTGGAAGATGGCCAGTCCGTGGACCTTCACCCTCATCTGTGGTTTGCTGGCAGCTTCTTTGGTACAAGCCACCCTCCTCCCCCCTGCAGTTCTCAGCCTAGGCCCAGAAGTCATCAAAGAAAGTAAGTCTTGACCATCCAGGTCTCATCACTATAAGGCAAGGGGGTGGGTGGGTGAGGGAGCCCTCCAAAGCAGGGTAGGAGCCCCATCACTAGGGCTGTACAATGCATAACTCTGGGAGGAGACTTACTGGACCACCTGTGAACTGTGGAGTGTCTATGATCTCAAGAGCTTATGATTCTGAGAGTCCTGTTCCACAGATCTGGGGTTCCAAGAATTCTGCACCCAAAGTTCCCCATATCCTTCAGAAGGGGTGCATGGCCAGCACATGTGATGATATAACTACCTCTGTACTCTCCTATCCTGAAACTCCATCCATCATCAGAGCACCTCCTGTGAGTGAGACCAAGTGTTCTTCCAGTCCTCAGAATGGAGGGCCTTGACTGGGAGTCTAGTGGCTTTGGGCTCCAGCACAGCTTCACCCTTCTCCAGCTGCATGGCCCTATGCAAGTCCCTGAGCCTTCCATTTCTTCCTCTGGAACAAACTGAGGGTCTGCCTCACAGGATGGTTGTGAGTACCTGATAAGACAGGAATAGACAAGAACTTTATAAACTCTATGCCTGGGCTTCTGAATCTCAGTGCTATTGGCATTTAGAACTAGATAGCAATTTGTTATGGGAATCTATTCAGCATATTATAGGCTCTGTATGATAAGCACTGGACTGCAAGCCACAAGGTCTGTGGTTCGAACACACTAGCTGATCAATGGGAGAAAGATGAGACTTTCTGCTCCCGCAAAGATTTACAGCCTTGGAAACCCTATACGGGGTTGCTAGGAGTCAGAACGGACTCGACTCTCTATGAGTAACAACAAGAGCATGCAAGCCCAGTAGTGACACCTAAAAACATCTTCAGATATGCCAAATAGTCTCTGGGGAAAACCACTATTCTCAAGTATGGTCTCCTAAGGAGCAGAATGCTTAGTCAGCTCCGGAAGTTCGCTGTTAAAGCACTTAGAGAACCAAATCTCTGTATTGAGTAGCCCTGAGCCAGGACTGTATGGGCAAGGGCTTGGATCCTCAACCAGGATGAGCAGCAGAGAGCTCTAACAGGCCGCAGGAGGAAGTAGAGATGCTCTGGGCCTAAAGTTCAATCAGAAGGAACTTGGAGATGAGTAACTGTGGTTTAGGTTTCCCAATATTAGAATATGAGTCGAGTGCCAGTAGTTGGTTGGGATACAATCCCAAACAACACCCGCAGGACAGTGGAAGCAAGTAAGTAAAAGGGAGTACAACCAAGCCATTTACCACTGTGTGACTGGGATCAGAAACTACACAGTACTTCTAACAGGTACATGGAATAAAAAGAATTGTTATCAGGGAGTTTTTGAGTAATGGGAAATTGGCTAAGAGAGAAAAGAAAGGGAATTCTAAAGAACATCATAAGGATGAAGAAGCAGTATCCAAGGACAGAACAAACTTGGAGCGGGCTCAAACCACGTTGGAGAAGCTGTGGCTGAAGTTACTGAATAGTGAAGTTTGAAGTCAGTAGGCTACTAGCGGTTGGAGACCTGCCTGCTGAGATGCTTATGAAATTCTCGGAGAAGCCCTCCAAGGAGGAAGGAGAACTGCTGCTGACTCACTTGGAGGTGACTGGAAATGAGCTGGAGAGCTCAGAGAAGTCCTTCAGGAGTGCTGCTGAACTTGCAGTCCAAAGCCATTGGGAAACGGCATCACAGAGGTGCACACCTGGACCAAGAAGGGAAGCCCCTTCCTCCTCCAGTGCCTGTCCAGAGTGCTACTATCAGGGCTTAACACTGTGGCAGTCAGCAAAGGAGGAATATTTGTGGGACCCAGCCCCATTGCAGCAGAGCGGGCACAAAGGGTAGGTGTAAAGTTGAGAGGCAGTAACTTGACTATGAGAACTGGAACTCTGGAAGACAATCAAGGACACACACTTGAGTTGAAGAGGCTGATTCATCAGTTATTCACTAAGGGCTGCTTCTGAGGCACCAACTTTCCAGCACTCTCATCCACTCTGCACCTAAGTCAAAAGAGCTCTGGCTGCCAGACAAAACGTCCTCAGGCAGTGAGAAGCATTGAGGGGACGTGGGTGCGACCCACACTTTCCACCTCCACTGTTAGCTGGACACAGTGAATCTCTAGTCACACAGCAAGTCTGGAGTAACCAGTATCCAGGGCTCCTGAACCTCCTCACTCCTTCTCTGCTCTGTACCTGAGGGTCTTTGGACAGCAGGCTTTTAGGATGTGGATACCAGAGAATCGTTAACTATTGTGTTTGGGCAGCAAAACTGCACCAAACAGGGCCTTGTGGGGCCCCTGACTCTCGGTTCTGGAAGTGTCCACTGACTGGTGGGGGGAATACAAGTCCATGTGCCAGGTGTACTTACCAGCCCTCCTGGAAGAGCCTGGCAATACCCAGTGGGCTGAATGGCTCCACCTGTGCTCCAGCTTCAGTGCTCTTTTGAAAATGACCCATCTAGGCCACCATCCTCACAGTCCCATGTACATAGTGGAGATGGTCAGGATGGAGCTGCCCACATGCTCACCTCCTATCAGGGTCCAAGTATCCCTGGGTGATGCTCCTCCCCATCCTGAAGTCCCCACAAACCATCCTTCTTACCGCCCCCTGGACCTTAACCCTGGGGTCTGCCTCTAGAGTTGACAGAGGAGCTGAAGGAGCATGACGCCGTCAGCATCCTCCAGCAGTTGCCCTTGCTCGATGCCATGCAAGAGTCATCTGACGGCATCATGAGCAGCCTGGTGAACTCCATCCTGAAATATATTGTCTGGTAAGTGTAACAGGACAAACTTCCACAATACTTCCCTGAACACACTGACATGCTCAGTCAACAAACATCCATTTGTATCAGTTCTGTGCCCAGCTATGGAAAATGAATCAGACTAAACCTCTCCTTTGAGAAGCTCTAAGAGTAGTTAACAATAATTACAAGATAGTGACACAGGAACTCTAATAGTGGTAACCCCAGAGGAAGGTCACCCGAAGTGGGAATGAGATGGCTCTTCTCAATGGAGGTAATACTTGAGCCAGTGACTCAGAGTTCACCAGGAGGCAAGAAGAAAATGGCATTCTCGGCAGAGAGGCCAGCGGGGTAAAGGCACAGGGATGTGCAAGATTCCATCAGGATGGCTGGAGCTCCATCCTAGGGTACAGATTAAGGGGAGGGACTCAGTCACAGAGAGTCTTAAAGGTCAGTCCAATGAGCTGGAATTAATCATCCAAGTGAGAGGGAATTGTCATAATGCTATGAGCAGGGGTGGAGGAGAGGGATGGGGCAAGACCATGCTGGGAAGGGATCAGTGGACAGGGCTTGGGCTGCAGATACCAGCCAGGCACCCAGGGGAGGTGGGAGAGATAGAGGGGTAGCAAGTTTGGCAACAATGCTCAGTTAAGCATACGGCATGATTCTCATCTCTCCCAAATCTCATTCAGGCTAAAAGTCACCTCTGCCAGCATCCTGCAGCTTCAGGTGCAACCCTTGATGGATGGTCAGGAGTTAATGGTCAAGATTCCACTAGACATGGTGGCTGGATTCAACACGTGAGTGGCACAGTGGGTCTGGTGGGTTCACCTACTCATGCACCAGTGAGTATCTAGGACAGGGAAAGTGGTGGGAGGTTAGGTCAGCAGGAAGCTGGGCCCAGATCACACAGGGCCTTGTGAGGCAAGGTGAGGGTTTGGCTTTCACTGAGGAAGACAGGAGGGTAAAGGGTTCTGAGCAGAAGAGACCCATAAAGTGACAACATTTTTAAAGAAGGTTGCTCTGGGATCAAAAGTAGAGGCAGAGAGGCAGAACTGTGACAGTAATTCAAGAGGTGACAATGAAGGACTGGCCACAGGCTGTGGAATAGTGGAGGGGTGAGAAGTGGTTGGATTGTCGAGTTGTTCTGAAAATACAGAGACAATGGGGTTTCATGGTATATTGACTGTGAGCTGAGAGAGAAGTCCAAGGTGACTCCAAGGTTTTTTGCCACTTGAAGGATGAAGTGGCCAGCATTGAAGATTGGGGAGCAAGTGTGGGAAACACTACAGAGTTCAGTTTTTTACATGTTACATTTGAGATGCCTGTAAGACATCTGGATAAGGAATGAGGCAGAAGTTTGGAAGCTGTTGTCATATGGATGGGATTTAAAGCAGGAGAGGAATCCAAAACCCAAGTCTGAGACATGTTGGGGAAAAGAAATCGGGGAGACAAGGAGAAGCCAGAAGGAGACTGAGGAGAAGCCAGGCAGATGGGAGGAGAGCCAGATGACAGAGGGACAGCAGGCTTGCTTCAGCTTAGAGGGTGCTCACACGGCCTGCACCTCCACCCCCAGGCCACTGGTCAAGAGCATCGTGGAGATGCACATGGAGACTGAGGTCCTAGCCATCATCCAAGTGGAGAGCAACGGGCAGGGCCATGCCCGCCTCATCCTCAGCAGCTGTTCCAATAGCCAAGGGAGCCTGCGCATCAGCCTCCTACACAAGTGAGTGCAGCCAGCCTCCCACTGGCCTCCAACCATGCCTCGGAGGGAAGTAGGGGCTGGTTTTGCCTAATTTTACAGATGGAGATCACTGAGGCTCAGGGAAAGAAAGGGACTTATCCCTCTGGAATGAATCTACAATGTCTCAGAGAGTTCAAAACATAAGGAAGCAATAATGGTGGCATTTGAGGTATGACACCAGGAGGTAGGACAAACCTTTAAAGGTAGAGAGAGGCCTCCTTCCTAGGGTCTCTCAAGCACTCCAAGTAAACTCAGGTAAAGCCATGGTGTAAAAACAAAGGCTTTGGAGTCAAGCAAATGCAGCTCCTTTATTTACTATCTTCATGACATTGGGTACTTCACTGCTCTGTGCCTCAACTTCTTCATTTGTAGAGTTGATGACATCTTCCAGAAAGCAGGGAGAGAATTAGATGAAGCAATAGCCAAAAGGCACTCATAATAGTGTGTGACACATAGTACTCCCTGCCACCAAGTTGTTGCCTACACACAGGGACCCTATTTAGGGTCTTCAAAACTGTAAATCTTTATGAGAGCAGCCTCATCTTTCTCCCATGAAGTGAGGAGTGGGTTTGAACCACAGACCTTGAGGTTAGCAGCCCAGTCCCTAACCCACACCACCATCAGGGCTCCTTGTGGAACACGGTAGGTGTTCAAAAACACTATGCTTCCTTTCATTTCTCCTTAGCAGGAGAATGGGGACACATGCCAATCCCTATTATCCCACAGTCCAGCACAAATTTCAAGACAATCCCTCCCCCTAGATCCTGCTCTCAGAGAACTCTCTGACACTTTCTACATCTGACTCAGGGTCTACACTCAGCTCTACCCCTAACAGGCTGTATAGCCTTGGTCAGATTCCTTCCTCCCCTGGACTTGATTTCCCCTTTTGTAAAATCAGGAATGGACGATTATCTCTGGTCCTTCCTAACTTCTCTTTCCCTTCACCTCTTCGGAAGGCTCTCCTTTCTGGTCAACTCCTTTGCAAACAAAGTCATGAATCTCCTGGTGCCAGCCCTGCCCAAACTGGTGAAAAGTCAGGTGAGTGAAATCAGGGCCTCTCTAGTCTGTGAGGATTGTGCCCCCTACAGGACTGGGGTGGAACTATAAACTGGTGCTGAGGGATGAGAGTCTCTTGGAGCATGAAACTGCTGGATCTGGCCAATTCTATCAGGTATGATGACTGAACATGGCAGATTGTTGAGATCAAGGTAATGGATTTCCCAAAAGTCAGTCAGGGGGACTCAGGCTGATAACTTGATGTGCTGGTAGATATTTAACAATGAACTCTGGAGAAGGTAAGAGCAGGAAGCCTTGGTTTGTAACACTTGCTGATTGCCACGGTGTAAATACTCCCTCCATGGTTGGCTGCAAGCTACCAGTGTGATGTCACAGAACACAGACAGTTGAGAAGACATGTACAATAACACACTATTGTATATCTCCACCATACAGACACAAAAATGTAAATAATCTTAAGAGCCATTTGTTGTTGTTGTTATGTGCCATCGAGTCGGTTCCGACCCATAGCAACCCTGTACAGGGTTGCCAAGGCTATAAATCTTTATAGGAGCAGAAAACCTCATCTTTCTCCTGTGGAACAGCTGATAAGTTTTGAACTGCTGACCTTAAGGTTTGCAGCCCGATTCGTGACCACTACTACATTTTATTATTATCTATGACTTAAGAATCATAGATAATAATAAAATGTAGTAAAATAATTGTTGTTGTTGTTAAGTACTGTCAAATCAGTTCCAACTCATAAAAACTGATTTGACCCACTAGTAGGAGTGAAGGAAGGGAGATTGTGGGAGAGGATGTACAAGCAGTAGGCAGTTCCTTGACTGGGAATTTATAGCCTCTGAGTTCTAGGTTGGCAAAGTAGTTGGGGACAGGGAACAGTTAATCATAGAAAGAAAGAAAAGAATATTTCTCAAAGTGCATTGTCATTTCTAAAGAGTAGTAAGACATAGTCAACTAGAAGGTTTTAAACAACCTTGGAGCACGGCCCTGGAAAATGGGCTGCCTCTGAGCAGAGAACAAAAACTTTGGGTCCCACAGCCATGGGAATCCAATGCTGAGTGTCCTCCTTAAGCAGAACAAGTGAGACCACATTCTCTCAACCTCACTCAGTTTCCCATCATTGGAAGGGGTGGGTGGCTCACCTGTGCATTGTGGGATATTTAGTAGCATCACTGGTCTCTACTTGACCATAGCACAACGCCCCCAACGGGTGACAACTAATAGCCAAATGCAGTGTTGGGGATGAGAAATTCAGTGCATTCCGGCCCCTCATTGATGAAACTCCTGTTTGTGTTGTTGCAGCTGTGTCCTGTGATCCAGACATCCTTGAAGGACATGTATGCTGACCTCCTGCGCCTGGTGCGAGGTAGGCGCACTGCTCTCCTGCCACTCTCCTTTAAGACTGAGCCAGTCAGGCCTGTTCTGAAACTTGGGCCCACCAGCAGGTCAGATGAGCCGCAATGGGTTCCCTCCCCTACACCCACAGACGGAAATTCACCACAAATACAATATCACAAGCACCTACTATGTGCAGGGCTCTATGTGAGGCCAGCAGGTACAGTGGGAAAGGTGTGGGCTGCGGAACCCCAGGTAAACTCAAGTTCAAATCCCATCTTTGTTACTTTCCTTTGGATATGTCACTCCACCTCCTTTTAGCCTCAGTTTTCTCATCTATAAAATAGGGGTTATGAACTTCTACTTCATAGGATTGCCAGTGGGGGTGAAAGTTTACAGGAAAGTTCCAGGTTCTCTGCCTGGCACACAGACATACTTACAAAAGTGTGCTGGATGCACGGGTCGGTGGGTGAGTGAGTGAGCAAGCCAGCAACACAGCAACCACAGTGTCTGAGGGATGAGGGGACAAGGGAAGGGACAAGATCTGTGTCCAGGAAGGCGGCATGTGAACTGCAAGGTCGGCAGCTCAATCTCACCAGCTGCTCCTCAGAAATCCTATATAGGGTCGCTGAGTCGGAACTAACTTGACAGCACTTAACAACAACAACAACAACAACAAGAATTACAAGAGATAAAAGGATGTGGGCTGCTGCAGAGTGGAGATTGGTTTTGTTTTTGAGGGTGCTGAGGCTTATTCCAAGAGCAGCCAGAAAGGAGTGGAAAGAAGAGAACAGAATTAATATACCTGGAGCATTTACTATGGGCCAAGTCCTCAGACAACCCTAGCAATCATTTATTGTTGTTAAGTGCCGTCGAATCAATTATGACTCATAGCAACCCTGTATAGGGTTTCCAAGGAGCAGCTGGTGAGCTTGAACCGCCACCCTTGCAGTTCAAACAGCTTTGCAGTCTGATGCATCAGCCCACAGCGCCACACCAGGACACCTAGCAATCAGTACCCCTCTCCAAATAAGGAAACTGAGCTCCGAGAAATTAAGCCATTTGTCCAAGTTCACAGAGGAAAGCAACGATAGGGGAAGGCTTGAATTCATTTCTTTCAGTTCCAAGTCTGAAGTCATTCAGATCTGAGCCAACTTTATTACACTCTTAATAGGTGCCAGTTGTCTCCAACCTTATGAAGCAAGTATTACTAATGTTGGTGTTAACTGTCATGGAGTAGGTTCTGACTCATAGTGACCCTGTACAGGGCTTCCAAGGGGCAGCTGGTGGTGGGTTTGAACAGTAAACCTTGTGGTTAGTAGTCCAGTGCTTAACCTACAGCGCCCCGCCATGGTTCCATTTACACCCTCACTTTAAGATGAGTAAATCGACTTAGTCCTGGCGGGTTAATGCGTCATAATGCGTCAGACTGCAAAGTCATTTGATCTGCAAGGTCAGTGGTTCAAGCTCACCAGCTGCTCCTTGGAAACACTATACAGGGTAGCTATGGGTCAGAAGCGACTCAACGGCACTTAACAACAACCATAAATAGAGGTGAGAAGAAACCAGTCACTGGAGCTCAACCCCAGATCTGTCTGGCTCCTTTTCCGGTGCAGGTCCCGGGATCTCTCAGGGAGTGGGCGGGGCCAAGTGTTGAGCCGGCTGGAAAAAATGCTAGTCTGAGCCCTGGTCTCCCCAGTCCTCACCTTTCTTACAACGCCACAGCCCTGGGTAGATGAGACACTACCACCACCTGGTGGCCAAATTGGGAATCCCAACGAGAACAGATAAAGTCTAGGTACCCAAACTGGGAGGTGCCGGTCAGTCTAGCAGGGGACATGGAAAGTTACAAGCAAAATAGTTCCATTTTTTTCGCGAGTTGGCATAAGGCTGACTGGTTCCAAGTCTTCTCAAAATCTGTAAAATGAGTTAATAACAGGACCTAATTCATAGGGTATTGTGAAAATTAGAACAGTGCTTGGCACTTAATATTAAGCACGTAAATACCAGTCATTATTATTATCACCATTGCCTTTGTCAACATCATCATTACTACTCCTGCTTCTCTCCCACACCATTCAGCCCTCCACCCTCACAGAACTGTCTTCTTGTCCCTGCGCAGTGCCCGTTTCCCTAGGCTTTAACCGCCTGGAGTTCGACCTTTTGTCTTCTGCCATCAAGAGTAATGTCATCCAGCTCAGCCTGAAGGTGAGTGTCACAGGACCTTCCCTGAACACCCAGACTCAGACAGCATAGGTCTGTCTCAAGGGAGACAACACCAGTTACAATTGGGAAAACTCAGAAAAGTCACAATAGACTGAGCAAGCCCCACGCAAACCATCTGAGGGAGAAAAACCAGCAGGTGGAACCTAAGGTCCACACACAGAATATCGACCCAGGGAGATCTGTGCTCCGAATCGGATTTCACCAGCTAGGACCAGGAGTATATGTTCTGGGCCTTCTGCCTTTTCTCTCAGGCAAGACTCTGCCAATCTCCAAATCTCTGGTGACCTTGAAAGAGTGGGCCCTGGCTGATCCCAGGATCATGACACATCATTGAGAATTGCAAAGACCTGTTTCTTCCCTGGTCTCAGTTCTCTCTGTCTGTGTGACTTTGGGCAAGCATTTTCACCTCTTGGATCCTTACTTTCATCTATAAAATGTTTGTTGTTGTTGTTGTTGTTAAGTGCCGTCGAGTCGGTTCTGACCCATAGCGACCCTGTACAGGATTTCCGAGGGTGTAAATCCTTACGGGAGTAGAAAGCCTCATCTTTCTCCCGCGGAACGGCTGGTAGTTTCGAACCGCTGACCTTAAGGTTCACAGCCCGATTCGTAACCACTACGCTACCAGAGCTCCTTTTGTAGATAGTAATAATCACTGTCGTTGTTGTTGTTAAGTGCCATCGAGTCGGTTGCACCCCTTATAGGGTTTCCTAGGAGCAACTGGTGAACTTGAACTGCTGACCTTGCAGTTCAAACGGGTTTGCAGTCTGGCGCATTAACCTACAGATCCATACCAGGACTCCATTAATCACTGAGGAGAGGATAAAATTAGAATGCATGGGGCCCAGCAGACGTTAGTGCCTAGGAAATGTTGGTGGTTGATGGTGTTTGTTGATTCCGACTCATAGTGTCCCTGTATAGAGATTCCAAGGCTGTAACTCTTTATGGGGGCAGAAAGCCTTCTTTCTCCCTAGGAGTTGCTAATAAATTCGAACTGTCATCTTTGCAGTTAACAGCCCACCTCATAATCCAGTACACTATCAGGTAATGTTATATGACTATGTGCCTGGAGTCGATTCCGACTAACAGTGATCCTGTACAGGGTTTCCAAGGCTGTGCTGTAAATTTTTATGGGAGCAAAAAGCCTCATCTTTCTCGCACAGAACAGCTGGTAGTTTCAAACTGCTGACCTTAAAGTTCGCAGCCGGATTCGTAACCACTACGCTACCAGAGCTCCTTGTTGTTGTTAAGTGCCGTCGTGTCGGTTCCAACCCACAGCGACCTGTACAGGGTTTCCGAGGCTGTAAATCTTTACAGGAGTAGAAAGCCTCTTCTTTCTCCCGCGAGGCAGCTGGTAGTTTCAAACTGCTGACCTTGCGGTTCATAGCCCGATTCGTAACCACTACGCTTCCAGAGCTCTTAGTTAGCGCTCTATAAAATATGGAAGTACACATCTGTGAGAAATAACTCTTGTGGGTGTGGTCCATCTTCAGGAATTCATGAGATTGCTAGACCAGGCAGACAGATTGTTGATTTACATCCAGGGATATGTAAGCAGGCTGTTAGAGGACTAGGAAATTTAAATAAGTCATTAAGACCATAGCTAGCCATTTTGGCTTCTCTGGGGGAAGTGAAAATGGGACTAGGACATGCCATAGACTTGTATATGAGAAGCTGAAACTGGAGGAGGGGCTTTTTGTAGAAATAAAAGCCATTTGTGGCAGGCCATGTGGCCTGTCTGCCTGTGCCTACTGGGCTGGGTGCCTGATTTTGCAAAATTGAATAAAGAAAACCTCACTCTCACTAAACTGAGTACAGATTGGATTACTTGAGCGTTTGTCAGTATAGACAACATTTCTCACACATCCATGCTGTGTGCACCGGGAGGAACCATATCAACCCAGGCTGTGTGCACCACACAATCCAGCTTTCATGGCTCCCTTGGGAAATCATAGCATCAAACATTTCTACCATTTTTGTTGCCTTTTGAATTTTTCCTTCACCCAAATTGTTTGGGGTATGTGAGAAGTTGAACTATAGGTGCAAAATGAGTCACCTGAGTTTAAAAAAAGTCAAAGTCACAGATTATTTGAGGGTTGCAGTTGGAGTAGATATTATCAGGCATTTGAGATAAATCCACCAAGGCACTGAATTGTAGGCTAAGCTTCCCAGCAGCAAATGTAAAAAGAGAAACACGGAAGGTATCATTTCTTTCTTGGTTGTTATAGGGTAAAGAGCCCTTGTGGTACTGTGGGATAAGCACTGGATGGCTAACTACAAGGGCAGCAGTTCAAACCCACCAGCTGCTCTAGAAAAAAAAAAAAACAAGCCTTTCTGCTTCCAAAAAGATTTAGTCTCAGAAACCCTATACAGGCTCTCTATATGAGTTGGTTTGTTAAATGGTAAACAGTGGAGCTAAAATTCTCAGTCAACTCTTTGTTCTGTGTCTCCTCAGGCCAAACTGTTGGACTCCCAAGGACAGGTGACCAATTGGTTCAATGGCTCTTCAACATCTCTGACTATTCCCTCCCTGGACAGCACCCCCTTCAGCCTCATTGTGAGGCAGGATGTGTTGAATGCTGCAATGGCTGCCCTGCTCCCTCCAGAAGAACTTGCAGTGCTATTGGACTACGTGGTAAGCCTCGGCATGGGGCAGACTGCATCATGGGAACTTCCTGAGTCAGAGAGGGTGTAGGGATCCTAGGGCCCCAAGCAGTACTCCTGTGTCAGGCTCATTTAAATCCCTTCAGTGATAGAGAGTACATCCTTGACTCCAACAGACTCAACATCTTCCCTGTAAGGTTCAATCCTTATCCTATTCTTCTCTCTGGAAACTCATCCATCTGCTTCCTTCACCAAATAGCAGTCCCGTCAAGCCAAGGATCAATACTGAGAGGGTGGCAGGAATTCGGGCCAGCTGGCAGGCAACAAATCAGCAGGTTCTTAAAGATTAGAACTCAGACTAAGGGGCTGGGATGGTGAGGAAACAGTAGGGGTCACTAGCAACCACAGTGGTGACTGTGCTAAGAATTGGGGTGACTCTCTATGTACTCTGGGATTGGGGAACAGCCCATAATCCATGACCACCATCACCCACAGGAAAGCTCAGGTCAGTGGGGGTCCCACGCCCCACAGTAGTTGACATAGGGGCTGTTGTTCCAGCAGTGACATGCATGTGTCATGAACCACCTGGCCTGCCCAGTGTTTCTAAGGGTCTAGAAAACCTTCGGAGTCTTGGTGTGGCACTGAAGGATAAGTACCAGAATGCTGACCACAAGGTCAGTGACTATATAGTGACGAGACAGTGACTTATAGCGACTATACAGAGTCACTATAAGTTGGAACCAACACAATGACACTTAACAATAACAGAAAACCACCGTCCCATCAGTGAGTTTCTGGAAGCATATCTTGTCTCCCCCTCTGGCTGACTTTTTCTGATTTCCTCTTGCCCTCAGCTTCCCGAGCTAGCCCAACAGCTGAAGTCAAGCATCAAGGTGATCAATGAAAAGGTGGGTCCATTTGCTCTCTGCAGTTCGGTGGGTATTTTCTGGGATCTGACATGGGCTTCTGGGGAGAATATGTGAGGGACTACTCGCTTTCCTCCCAGCACTGTCCCTGTCCCCACAGAGACTTCAATCTAATGGGGCTGTTGGAGCTGAATCAAATGCTTGCATAGAAAAAATGTTGTTACAAGTACAACATCAAAGGAGAGGTTCTAAGGGTGTGGAAGCATTACTGAGGCAGCTGATCAAGTCTGGGAAGTTAGGGAGTGCTTCCATGAAGGGACATGTATTCCAGGCAGAGGAACGGCATAACCAAAGGTGGGAAGAACCTTGAAAAGGACCTTGAAAAGGGAAGGGGATTGTGATGAGCACATGCAGGAGGCAGGAAGGCAAGAAAGGTGGGCAGGACCAGGCCACCTGGGCTACATGGCATCTGTGGGTTAAGGTGAGGTACTTGGGAGGTCACATGTGAATCTGATGTCCTTCTAGGCTGCGGATCAGCTGGGGCCCACACAGATTGTGAAGATCTTACTTCAGGAAAGCCCCAAGCTCCTTTTGAGCCAGGGCACTGCCAAGGTGGCTCAGCTGATCATATTGGAGATGTTTGCCACCAATGAAGTCCGCCGTCCTCTCTTCACTCTGGGCATTGTGAGTTCAGTCATCTGTGACAGTGGCAGCAACCTGGGGGAGCACTCCTGATCACACTTTCCTGGTTACCCCTCCTGCTTTGATAAACACCCCCACCTTTCTTGTCATCCATCAGGGATGCGGAGGGAGAAGAGTTCTGATCCAAGAGTTAGGTGCTCTGGGCATGCAGCTCTGGCAGAAACTAACTCATGTGCACAAAAGAAATTGTATTAGCGCAGATAACTGAAACATCTAGATGATTTTGCCTTCAGGAATAGCTGGATCCAAGTGCTTGGTCATGTCTTCTTCTCCATCTCCATCTGTCACCCTTCCTTCGCAGGCTGGCTATCCCCTCATGGGTCCACAGAGCTTACCCCACATTGAAACAAGAGGATTGGCCTTTGGTACCCATCATTAGTCACCAGTGGTTCCCAACAGTAGGAGAATCTAACCTCCCAGCAAGGCTGCTCTGCTCAAGCAAGGACAAGTTTCCACAGAAGGGAAATTAGGGGCCTGTGTGAACCATGAGAACAACACTCACAGCAGCTAGTGTTCTTGAGGGAGCACCCACACCATCCATTTTAGAAGGCAAAGGAGACGATAGATGAGGCAGACTTGTTGTTGGGTGCCGGGTAATCAAGGCCTTCTGTGCTTAACCAAGGGAGACTCCCAAATAGGAGACTAATGCTCACATTATGATTATAGCAGGGACTACTGTTCACAAAAGGAGATCTGGTAGCATAGTGGTTACAAATCGAGCTGCGAACCGCAAGGTCAGCAGTTCGAAACTACCAGCTACTCTGTGGGAGAAAGATGAGGCTTTCTGGTTATGTAAAGATTTACAGCCTCAGAAACCCTGTGCAGGGTTGCTATGGGTCAGAACCGACTCAATAGCACTTAACAACAACTGTTCACAAAAACTATAAGGTGAATGGCACCTCTGAGTTGTTCAGCACTGTGTCTTGGCTTCCTGTATTGAAGGACATTCTGATCTATACACACACACACACACACACACACACACACAATGACCAGCAGTGGGAATAGACTCAGGCCAACCTCACTTCCTGCTGGGACTCTCCCCCTAGTCAATAGCATGTATTTTTCAAAAGATCCACAGCCTAGGCCTGGAGCTAGAGCCTCCTACCCTGCTCTCAGGATAAAACTGCTGGTGCACATCTTGGACCCCCATATTTGGGTTCTGGCTTAGCGTCTGCCCTTTTCAGTAAGAGTGGTTAACATTTACCAAGTGTTTGTTTATTTTCTCTGTCTCCCAGTTTCCTCACCTCTACCATGGGGTAATAATAGAGCCACCTCATAGGTTGTGAGGATGGAAGGAGAGACTTGTATGACACAGCATACCGTGAGAGTTCCATGCATAGTGCCACCATCTTTGTCACCATCATCATCACTATCCCCCACAACAATCCTATGTTGAATCTGTTAAATAAGGAGTAAGTATATCATGCTTGGAAAAGAAGAGGGTCAGCAATAAAGAGGAAGACCCTCCACAAGACAGATTAACACCGTGACTGTTTGTGAGATGGCGCAGGACAGGGCCGTGTCTCATTCTGCTTGCATAGGGTTACTATGAACCAGAACTGACTCAGTGACACTTACAAACAAGAGCATAGCTGTTATCCCATTTAATAGATAAGGAAAAACCAGAGAAGTCAAACCCTTTCTCAAAGTTACAGAGCTAGTAGCTGAGATTCAAACTGTGTCAACTTGACCCTCGAGACTCCTTGTATAACCCCCAGCACTTCATACTTGACACATCCTCTTAGAAGAAATGGGACATGCGCTTCTCTTCTTGCAGGAAGCTAGTTCTGAAGCTCAGTTTTACACTGAAGGTGATCAACTTATGCTCAACTTAAATGAAATCAGGTAAGCATGGAAACCACTGGAAAGACTGCAGTGATGAAAACCAATCATGCCCTGTGACCATCAGATTTCGTAGAGTATTTTGAGCCTCTGCGAGCTGACCATCCGGTAAAGGCTGCTCCAGGACTTACAGGTAGCTGCCTGGTCCAGAGTCAGCAGCCACATCAAGGACTGAGGGAGAGGGAAAAGGTCTAGCAGCAGCCACAGAACAGGCTGGTCCTGGCCATCAGGAATGGCCTGCCCACATGTCTGAGACTGAGCCTAACACTGGGGACCAGGGAACCTGACAGCCACACCCAGACACCATGTCCTTGCCTGTTCTCCCCCAGCCCACCCTTCCCTGCTTCCCCAGAGAGTAGCTCAGGACTGCAAGCTGGAGCCTCCTGGGACAAACCAACCCCACAGGGTGGTATGATCAGCCCACACATAATTAGTTTTTTAACATAAATTATTTGCCACATATAAAAATCAGAATATCTGGTCCCTTGGGCATGTATTCATATACAGTAACAAACACCAGAGTTAGGAACCAGGTGTCCCCTTTAGAAGGGGCCTGGGCCCCCAGTTCACCACAGTCCTCGTTCTTGGGGCCACTGTGTGTTTCCTATCCCCCCATTCAACTGTAAGCTCCACAGAGCAAAAATTGTGTTTGGTTTACTGCTATCTCTACAGAAACAGCACTGTGCCTGGTACACAAAAGGTACTCAATAAATATTTGTTGATTGTATGAATGAGTGGGGTCCCGAAGAGCCATTCTCACACTCATCTTCTGTTGTAGCGCTGATCGGATCCAACTGATGAACTCAGGGATTGGCTTGTTCAACGTGAGTACAAGCAGTTTGTCCCCGGGACGCTGGGATGGTCCAGAATGGTTTGTCCCAAAAAGAAACATTGCCACAAAGTTCTGGTCTGAGATGAGCATCAGGTGAGGCTGCCTGGCCTGGAATCTCTAGCTGTTGAGGAGGAAGAGGGAAGAGGCGTGGCAATAGCCGCAGACTTCCTGGCTTGGGTGTTAACTGCTGGATACACTCACACACAGCGATACTTATACTCACACACACTCACTGTCCTTCAGGGAAGCTTTGATCCTAAATTAAAAAACAGATCTCCGCTTCTCTTCACAATCTCATTTTGCTTATATAGGCTCTCCTAGTGACTCTGGGTAGCCTCTTCCCTGCTATTCCTCAGTTTCCCCATCTGAGTCTGACTGAATCTGTCTCAAAATGGCAAACTCTGCCTGTTGCCATCTTTCCTTTGGTCCTTGTATTTTGTTTTGTTTTTAATTTTTTAAGCATATTTTACTTTTTTTAATATACTTACATTTTAAATATTTTATAGTATTTAAAGTTTAAGTTATTTTAAAACTCAGACAAGCAAGGACAGCATTCCCTCAGAGCAAATTAGCCTGGAACAGAGCCATGAAGTCCCATTCTCCATTGTACCCAATTCCACCACCTGCCAGAGGTGGCTTTTTGTGGCCCGCCACAGTCTGTCTAGGTTCCAGGAACCCTTGCTGCTCTACCAGGTAGGGGACCAGGGATCTCAGCATCTCCCCAGTTGCCCTATCCTGGGAATGACGGGGAAGACTTGGGATTTTCAGCCAGGGTGACATGTCCCTACTCTCTCCCAGCCTGAGCTTCTGAAAGACATTGTCACCGAGACCCTGCTTTCCATCCTGCTGCCTAATGAGAATGGTGAGTCACTTTACTTCTCCTGCTGGGGTTTCCCAGTGGGGCCTTTCATTCGTTTTCCATTCAGCCTTCAGAATTGTTGTTGTTAAGTGCAGTCAAGTCGGTTTCGACTCATAGTGACCCTGTATAGGGTTTCTGAGGTGCGGTTGGTGAGTTTGAATGGCCGACCTTGTGGTTCAAACTTCCAAGCACACACCTGGAAATGACCTCCCAGACAGACCTAGTAATGCCTTTAGCCTGGGCACAAAGAAACAAACCAGGCAGGACCCAACCTCACAGGGCTGTAGCTGTAAACAGACAACCAGCGTTCACTCAAGCTGCCTCACATAGACCTGGGTTCAAGTCCTGGTCCCCTCTCTTTCTGGCTGCTACCTTGGACAAGCTGTTTAATTCCTCTTGAGCTTCAATTGTCCCCATATGTAAAACGGGGAAATAAGAGTACCTGCCTCTGAGGTGCAAATGAGGTAACATCTGCAAGGTGGTGCCTGACATATAGTCTGTGCACAACACTTCTTAGCCATTGCTTCTGTTGGCATCGTAGTCTCTGCTACCAGTGGAGGCAGCCCTTTGTTGTATGGGTAGAGAACGTTACTAACCCATGCCAACCCTGCCTTCTCCATTTCAGTATTTTATTAGAATGGAGAATCTCAAAGTATTGAAACCCCTGCTGTGGACCATGGGAGCTCCTGATGGTTCTTGAGCAGGAAAGTGAGAGGATGTGAGGGTATGCTTTGTGAGCAGCCAGAAGCTGATATCAGAGGCAAAGGATGGGGAGATGCTGGGTGTCTGGAGAACAGACAAGCAGAGAAAACACTCCAAACACGAGTCTACAAGCCCACCAGTCACTGACCACATTTGTTATTTCAGGCAAACTAAGATCCGGAATCCCAATTTCAGTGATGAAGGATTTGGGATTTGAGGCAGCTGCATGTTCTGTGACCAAGGTGAGTAGCCCATGGACTTCAATATACTATATACAGAGGGTATAGAGGTGTCTTGGTGGTGCAGTGGTTAAGTTCTTGGCTGCTAACTGAAAGGTCAGCAGTTCAAAGCTGACCTATAGGAGGAAGATGTGGCCATTTACATCCATAAAGATTCACAGCCTTGGAAAAAATCCCTATGGGGCACTTCTGCTGTGTCCTCTAGGGTCGCTATTAGTAGGAAATGACATAATGGTGATGGGCTTGGGTTTAGGAAGGATACAGCAGCTGGGAGAGTCCTGGGAGGTGGACCCGCGCTCCACTCATGGGGGACTTGGGCAAGTGTCAGCCCCTCTCCAGACTTCACCTCCTCATCTGTAAAGCGCTTTGATGGTACCCTGGAAGGTGGGCTATCCTGGCAGGTGTGGCCTGAGGTCAACACACTGCCACGTTTTCTCATCCTACCTGTCATTCATTCATTCATTCATTCAATGAATAACTTTTGAAGACCTACTAAGTGCCAGGCATGCTTAAGAGTGCTTGGGGTCACAGCAGTGACCAAACAGGAAACACCCCTTCCTGGTGTTCTAGTTCACACACTGGACCCACCTCTTTAGATCCCTCCAAAAATTCTATGTGAGTGCATTCAGAGTCATGACGTCCCAAAAGCCAGCATGCACCTTGTCAAGGATAAAGTCAGTATAAATCTCCAGCTAGGCAGTAAAGACCCACTTTGACTTTTCTCCCCCAATTCCAGGACGCCCTTGTGCTCACCCCAGCCTCCTCATAGAAGCCTTGACTGCTCTCCTTGATCCCCCTGAAACTTGGATGGTGGTCCTCCAGGGCAGGATATCCCGCTGAGAGTCAGGGAGTGCTGGCAAATGCTGTCAACTGTCCCTTTCTACAATAAACAAATACTTTTCTTTGAGTCTTGCTGTGTGATTTTTGATGTCCCAGCACAGAAGTCCTTTGGTGGGCTTGGAGACAAAACGTCCAAGCCATATGTGGGTCTTGTTAAGGAACATCTGGGCCAATTTGGGAAATGACTGAGCTGTTTCTGTGCCACATCTGAGTCCTATGTAGATAGTGTTCAAGGTCTTTGCCACCTCTCTAGGCTTCAGGAATAAGAAAATCAGTTCCTCCCTCCTGCCTTCCATGTCAGCCTCAAGGCTACTTTGCTAGGACATGTACATTTTATCAAATGCACAATGTAGTGGATCGAGGGCACTTTGAATAGTATGACTCTGAAGACAAATGAACTAAACTTTGAGTTCTGGCCGGGCCACCCATTGGTTGTATGACCCTGGGATACTGCTCCCCTTCTCTGGGCCTCAGTTTCTTTCTCTGTAAAATGGGTTGAGTTATAGCCTCACATTGGAAGTCATTGTTGTAGTTGTTATTGTTAAAGTGCTGTCAAGTCAGTTCTGACCCATAGCAACCCTGTATAGGGTTTCCAAGGAGTGGCTGGTGAGCTTGAACTACCAACCTTGCGGTTCAAGCCGACTTTGCAGTCCTGCGCATTAACCCACAAACCCACACCAGGACTCCTTGGAGGTCATGGTGAGGATTCAATGAGAGAGAATAGTTCCAGACACATGGCAGGAGCTCAAGCATTATCAGCTAGGGGTGATATCATCCTTACAATTGTTACCTGAGCTCCAGGAAGCCAGGCCTTATCACTGAAGGCCCTTCTAGTACTGAAAGTTCATAGCTGTCACTGTCTCACTGCCTGATGCCAGGAGGTTCCAGACAGACAAGAGAGCTCCTGTTCTCCAGACCCCAGGCTACAGGAGCATGCAGAGCCCTCCACTCACACAGGAGCCTTTCAGGAAGGTGTGGGTGGGTGCTTCCGGAAGAGGTATTTCTCCACTTCAAGGCACGAACATTTAAATCTCAACTCTGCAGGCCTGTTGGCCCAGGTATAGAACAGGTCACAGTCTGGAGAGGCACCCTAGAGAGGACTTCTATCACAAGTCATGGGCTAGGACTTGAGGCCCTTACACCACACTGCTAACACTGAGCAGTTACTGAGAGGCAAGCTGTTTGCTGAGGCTTCCCCAGACTCACAACCACACGGTGGTCTGAGAAATGGGTATGAATTTGTTCCATATTCAATATGTTTCTTTGTTTTTCTGAATAGTATTAAATCTGGGTTTGAGTCCTTACTCACCTGGGAGCTGAGAAATCAATCTCCATTTTGCTTAGGATAGGTCCCTTCTGGTCCTCTGAGGCTACACAAGGATCTGTCGGGGGAGAAGGACTCCAAGGAAGCTGGCAGATGGCGGTGGTGGTGGTGTGCCGTGGAGTCGGTTTCTACTCATAACACCCCTGTATATGGTTTCTGAGGCTGTAAATCTTTACAGGAGCAGGAAAGCCTCATCTCTCTCTCACAGAAGGGCTGGTAGTTTCGAACTGCTGACCTTGAGGTTATCAGCCCGACTCGTAACCACCATGCTACCAGAGCCTCTGATTTTGTTGCTGCCTAGTCATGAAGACTCCCAATGAGAAGGATTGGTATGGTGGCCGCAGTGATGGACTCAGATGTAGCAACAATTGTGAGGTTGGCGCAGGACTGAGCAGTGTTTTGCTCTGTTGTGCATAGGGTCACTATGAGTCGGAACCAACTTGATGGCCCCTAACAACAACAAATCATGATAATGGAGCCCTGGTGGTATAGTGGGTTACAAGATGGGCTGGTTTTTGAATCACCACATGGTTGGCGATTCAAATCCACCAGCCACTTCACAGGAGAAAGACGAGGTTTTCTGCTCCCAAAGAGATTTATAGTCTTTGGAGCCCTATACAGGGTTGCTATGAGTTAGAACCAACTCCCCAGCACGTAACAATAGCAGTCCTGATGAAGGGGGTCTCTCTGTCCCACCCACATGATCCCACTGAACAGTTCAGACCAAGCTGAGGCATGGGGATTCTTCTCCAAATCAGCCATGGCCACAGCTCCCAGGATTCCAATCACCGAGTCATCTGGGGCTTCCTGGGAAGTGATCAATAATTCCAGCTTCCTCACCCCTTGTGGGGTTGGGGCAACTCTGAGGCATGTGTTCTACACTGGCTCACAGAGCTCCCCACAGAACGTAACCCCCGTTGTCCATGTGAGCTGGGTAACACACTCTATTGGCTGCCCCCTCTTCCCTGTCTTACATCCCACTCTCCAAATCAACCACCTGCACCCAAACTCCTGTTCCAAGGCCTGCATCTGAGGAACCCAAACCAAGACAAGCATTTGCTCTAGGCAAGTGTCACAGAAATGCCTGCATTGGCCATAGACCTTCATTCACTCAGCTTTCTCCATGGGGCCATAGTCCAAGTTCTGCCATCCTCTCCCACTGACCAAATGAAGAAACTGAGGCTCTGGCGGCTCAACCCAACTGCCAAACAGCCCTACCCATCAGCCTACACTGCCTCCCCTCTACTTCATCCCCCTCCCTTGGGTCACTACCTCCCAAACAGGAGAGGGACTGGCCTCTGTTGTCAACTTCCTTCCAATTTGGGGCAAGAACCCTCAGACTCAGAATTTCTAAGTCCGACCTTCCTGGGCTAAAAAGCTCTGGTGGTGCAGTGGTTACAAATCAGGCTATGAACCTTAAGGTCAGCAGTTCAAAACTACCAGCTGTTCCGTGGGAGAAAGATGAGGCTAATTCTGCTCCCGTAAAGATTTACAGCCTCAGAAACCCTGTACAGGGTTGCTATGAGTCGGAACCGACTCCATGGCACATCATGACCACACCACAACCACGACCTTCCTGGGCTGGAGGAAGGAAAACATCTCAGTTCCCTCTGAGTCTTAGCAGCAGCAAAGAAAAAAACACAAAGTAATATCTCAGTGAACTACTCAACTTCACAGGAATTAGTAATGCCTTCATTTTATTGATGAGATGTCAAGTAACACACGGCTGGTAAATGATGGCACTGGATTGGACACCAAGAGCTCACCCATTTGACTCTGGTACCCCTGACCTGAATCCACAATAAGACCCACTCTTCTTCTTCCTCAAAATGAGGAAGAAGCATTCCTCTTAACAGATCAATAAGCTGAGACTGAGACAGAGTCCGTGATTATTGACTTGTACCTCTCTGTGTCTTTCCCAGACCTTCCCTTTCAGGAAGGAGACCCTCAGAAATCTCCCAACAGAGTAAGATAAACAGAGTATCTTACTCCCAACAGAGTATCTTACTCTCAACAGAGTAAGATAAACAGAGTCCATGAAGATCCAGCCAAATTGTTCCCTCGTAGAGGGCGTCCATGGTGTGGCGCTGCAGGATAACGTATTGGACTAAAGGCCAGTTTGAACCGCAAGGTCAGCAATTCAAACCCCCCAACCGCTCCTTGGAAACCCTAAACAGGGTCTCTATGAGTTGGAACTGACTCAATAGCACTTAACAACACTTAACAGGGAGTCCTGGTGTGGTGCTGTAGGATAAGCACTGGACTGCTAGCCACAAGGTCAGTGGTTCAAACCCACCAGCTAGAAACCCTATCAGGGTCGCTATGAGTCGAATCTGACTTGATGGAACTTAACAACAACAATTCCATTTAGAGGGGGTAGCACCATGGCTCTGTAGGATAAGCACTGGACTGCTAACCACAAGGTCGGAAGTTCAAACCCACACGCCGCTCTATAAGAGAAAGATGAGGTTTTCTACTCACAAAAAGATGTATAGCCTCAGAAACCCGCTACAGGGTCACTATGAGTTGAAACAAATTCCATTTAGAAGGGACCCAGGTGGTTCCTTGGATTGAGGTCGGAGGTTAGAACCCACCAGTCACTCCCGACTCCAAAATCCTATGGAATTGTTCTATTCTGTCCTTTCGGGTCACAGCATTGAGTTTGCCTTTAGGCAATTCCATTTAAAGAAGCCCAGTTTTGGAAGGGAAGGGATACATCGCTGCTTCCATCAATAAATATCCAGGTGAATCAAATGAGGAAATAAATCTAGAGCCTTCCTCTGCCCCAGGCAGAAGGTGGCCAGTACTTAGTAGTAATGTTGACACCTAAGCAACAGAAATGAGGAGGACTTAAAATGATGATCCTTTAAAGCATCCTCCAGCCCAGGAAGTCCATGATTTTCTGAGCTTCTAGAAAAAGCCCAGTTCACTTAATAAGTGCTCCAAAATCATATTAACATTGGCCATTTGCTTTTAACCTCAGTCCAAGTGAAAATTTCAGACCTACACACAACTAATCAAGCAGTTCCTGCTGAGCTGCTGGCTTTCAGAACTCACCAGTCCTTCAATCTCCAGCTGAAGAACGGTGTTTAATACCTGATCTGAGCTGTGAGGAAGAAAATCCACATGCCATCTAGAGACGAGTCGCATCCTCCATTGGACAGTGTTAATGAAAGAGGTCGATGCTATGCACACTCACAGTGCTGACCCACAGGATTCCCACAAAGAGGGCCTCTGCATAACCGTGTGATTGCAAGTGAAGACTCAGGGTCTCAAGTTTACAGTGTGCCTGATTCCCCATCATTGGAAGGGTAATTCTCTCCGTGGGCTCTGTGAACTTGAGTAAATCACTTAACCTCTCTGAGTCTGTTTCTTCACCTATAAAATGGAAATTAAAATAAGTAACTTTTGAACAAATCTTTCCTGTGTGCCAGACTTCATGGTGACATCTAAATCAGTTGCCTCACTGAACCTTCACAAGAGACATGTTAAATACCAAGAGACATGTTGTTGTTGTCAGGTGCCATTGAGTCGGAACCAACTCATGCACAGCAGAACGAAACAACGTCCCATCCTGGGCCAACCTCACTACCGCTGCCACACTTGACACCATCAATGATGCCACCTGGCCGATCCATCTCGTTGGGGGTCTTCCTCTTTTTCTCTGACCCTCCATCTGGTAGATTTATTATTTCCAATTTACAGAGGCGAAGAGTGAGGCTCAGAAAGAGGAAGTAACTTGTCTACAGTCACACAGCTATGAGAATGCTGACTATTTGAAGCCCAGCCTGTTTGGCTTCAGAAGTGATATCCTTGACAGTTATACCACAACAGAAAATTATGGTGTGGAATAAGTTGAGAAAAGCATAGACGTGGGGAAAGGACATGAGGAAAGGCCACAAGTGGTTGCCTTCCCCCCTCCCCAGTCTCCCCTCTAGCTCTTACCTGTCTTCTCCACTATGCTCTCCCTCCTTTGATGTCTATGGCTACCACATCCTGTCTTAGAAGCACCCCGCCCTTGCCAAATCCTGGAGGCCACATCCCAGGCTCCACAGTTCTGATGTCCTTCCAAAGGGAAAGGACCCACCCCCAAACCACAAGGACCTGCCCACTTCCTGGGGTCTGTGGGCCAAACTCAGGACCAGAGCCTGCCCCATGGGCTTCAGTGACAGATTCTATTGATTTTGGCCAGAAGCCCCTTGCCACCCAGTGCCAGGGGGACCCCTTCCCCCACTGAAGAGCTCTTTTGAATGTCCCACCCAGTTCAGAGCACAGGTTATAAACGTTGTGTCTTTCTGGGAAGTTGGAGACAAAGACCAGGAGAGTCTCTGGACAGGCCAGTTCTGGAGAGGTAAGACAAGGATGCCAACCTGGGCATTTCTCCAGCATGTCTTGAGCACCTACAATAATATGGGGAAGTAGTAGCATCTAGGTTCTTAGCATCAGGAAAAGCTGGGTTCAAATCCCAGCTCTGTCACCTCACCACCATGGTGATGAGGACTCAATGATGAGATGAAGCTTGCAATGTTCCCAGTATGGTTGCTGGTTCATAGTAAGAAGAAGTTGGGTTTGGCACTGATGGGTCAAGGCATGAGCTGGAAAGGGCTGGAAGACAAGTGTGAAGTGCTAAGGACAGGGAGGGAGGAGTTGATTGAGAAATGTGCCTGACAGAGGGACACTGCCTGGAAGCAAAATACCATTAGTCCTGGTATGGAGCTGTAGGATCAGCAGTGGACTGCTAACCACAAGGTTGGCGGTTCAAACCCACCAGTTGCTTCTTGGAAGCCCTATACTGGATCACTTTGAGTCAGAACCGACTCAACACACTTAACAACGATAATATTACAAGTATAAATTCCAAAATTCACATATGCAAATAAACAAACAGTTAAGTTAATACTTCTATCACCCAATTTAATCACTATTTTGAGCACTTGTACCACCAAGTAGCAAACAACTTCCTGATGTTGCTGATTCTAAGCACCACAAGGATTTTCTCCAGCATGCCAAGGTAGGCTCAGTCACTTTTGAGGGTCTCTTGCCTCCACTCAAGGGCAGTGGTTGCACTCTGGGTGGCTTCTTGATGGGTGTGGCATTGGGCAGTGGCAGTGATGACTCCTGGGTGGACCCTAATTAAATTGGCTTCTGCCAAAGAAATATCTGCCTTGCAGTCCCAGAGACTGCGCCCCCTCGTGGTGTGCCCTTTCCCATCACCAAAGGCCTCTGCCTGTAGGCTCTGAGGTCGCAGCCAGACTCAGCTCATTGAGCAGGGCAGAGTTTAAGATGGTAGGAACTGGTTGGTGGGTGGAAATATTGAAGTAGCTCCCTACTAACTAGTAAAAAAGTCATGGTTTCAAGCCCCCAAGTGCCTACCCCATCACCTGAGAATGCCGTCCACCGGGCCTCCTCAAGCTCCAGAAACTTCCAGGGTTAAAAATCATCTTTCAACCATTCATAACATAGTCCAGTCACTGTGACGGCTCATGCGCACTCATTGCTTGCTAAGTGTTTTGCACATATTTATCATCTCAGTCTACAACTGTTCTCATCTCACAGATGAAACAACTGAGGCATGGAGAGGTCAAGAAACTGGCTCATGGTGTTAGTGGTTGGCCTCATGATGGGGGAGGTGTTCCAGGCAGAGGGACTCTATCCACAAATGAGTAGGGTGGGGAGTGAAACCTGCGGTCAGGGACTTGCATCAGGAACTAAGGGAGGATGTGAGGGAAGAAGCATGGAGAAATGGTTTAGGAGAGAAGTAGAGTTGGAAACCACAAAGTGCTGGGTCCCCAGGGAGGATATTAAGATGGTTTCTGGAGTTCTCAGCTCTGTGTCCACAGGTCCTGACCAAGAAAATGCTGCTGTTCTGGGGGTTACTGCTGTGTTGGGGGTTGTTGCCTCAGACCCGAGGGGAGGCCCAGCACCTGCTCTTCCATCGGATCAGCATAGATCAGCTAGAAACAGGTAAATTTTAAGGAGGCAAGAATCTAGGGCAGGGTGGGAGAGAACACCACCTCTGTGCTCTCAGCCTCTCCTCCCTGGGCCACTCCCTACTCAGCCCCAGAATGTACCTTCCTTTATCCAGGCCTGACCCTGTCCCTCCCCTGCTCTAACACTTGCCATGACTCCCCTGTTCCCTCAGAAGAAACTTCAGCTCCTCATCCTGGCATTCAAGGTCCTGCTGGTACCTCCCACCACCTTCCCTGACCACGTCCTAGACTTCTCAGCTGCCCTGCCTTTGCTACTGCTATTCCTCCACTTAAAATACTCTCTCCCTCCTTCTGGCCATGGTGACCTTCTGACTCATCTTCTAAGGTGCCTCCACTGGGAATCCCTTCCTGCTTCCTCAGGCAGGAGTCCCTCCTTCCGCTGGACTCTCCTTGGGTAAATCCTCTTCTGTAGATTACCCAAGTGTATCATAGCTGTCAGTTTATCTGTCTGTCTCCCTATATTAGCCTGAATTCCTTGGTGTCCATTAACCTCCTTCTATGCCCACCATACTCCAGCCTCATGGGTCTTTCTGTCTCATAAACACATCAAGCACATTCCTGCCTCAGTGCTTCTGCCTCATATTCTCTTTGCCTGCACTGCCCTCCTTCCAGATCTTTCAATCATTCACTTCATTCAGGTCTCAGCTCCCTGGCCACCCTGTCAAAAGCAAACCTTCATCCCTCCCATATTCCAGCTCAACTCTTGTGCTATTTTCTTTGTAGCACTTTCAAAATTCACCCTGTTTGTTTATCAGGTTGCTCGGTTATTATCTGTCTCCCCCACAAGAATGTAGACTCCATGAGGCCAAAAGTCTCATTGCTTCTGTTTTCTCGAGCCCCAAAGAGAGTAAGCGCTGAATCAGTACTTGTTGTTGAATGACTATCTCAACACCTGATTCCGGGCAGCTGCTACAGAGAGTTTGTTGGATGGCTGAAAGCAAGGTGAAGCCCCACACAAAGAGACTTGTGTCCTCAGACATTTCAGACATGTTCTCAAAGAACCACGTCCTGGAGCGCATGACCAAGATACCTGTGACCGGGGACATGAGTAAAGGGATGCCCATCCTGGATCACCTGCCCTTCGTCAGAGAAAACCTCTCCAAGAAGAAAACGGGCCTTGACCTGTCAATAGTTGGGGACCTGCTCTCAGGGAAGAAGCTTCCAGTGGTGGAGGAGCTGATCAGGGCAGGCGGGTGAGTCCCCAAGGCTGCCTTCAGTCTTCCATGTTCCCCAGGCACGGCCCATTTCCCTAAGCCTCAGTATTCTCACCTGTCTAGTGGAGCAGGTATTACTGGCTCACCTCACAAGGTGGGCGGAGGCCCAGCTTCCTTAGAGGGTCTTCCCCTCTAAGGAAGCAAGTACATTCAGACTGTTCCTAAGCCTCTACAATCCCCTTGGAATTTCTCTAAGAACAACTCATGGCCACTGAGTCCATTCTGAGTCACAGTGACACCTATAGGGTAAAGTGGAACTTATGGAAGCAGACAGCCTCAGCTTTCTGCCTCAGAGTGACTGATAGGTTTGATCCCTCAACGTTTCTGTTAGCATCTCAGCACTTAAACCACTGTGCCACACTGCAAGTCTAACTCAGAGATCTTAACCTTAGCCACATTCAGTCTACACCTGGGTTTTGCAAATTTGCAGCTTTGTTTAACATTTTTAAATAATTGTCAACAAGGAAAAATCAAGAAGGTTTTCATTGAAACCTGAATTTCCAAATTCTCTCTCAAAAAAGCAAAAATCTGGCCACATTTGGCCTGACCTCCCATGAGGCAATAATTAGTGCTAGAACTATAACCCATCACCCTATGCCTTCTGGCTGCCGCTACACATTCTCCCTGGCACAGGACTTCAGCTTGGGAGGGTCATAGCTGCCAAGGGTTGTGGTCACGGAGAAACGCCATGAGGTCCACGTCATTCTTTTTTATTTTTAAGATTTGTATAGTGGATTCTCTGGTAGCGTAGTGGTTACGAATTGGGCTGTGAACCACAAGGTCAGCAGTTCGAAACTACCAGCTGCTCCGCGGGAGAAATATGAGGCGTTCTGCTCCCATAAAGATTAACAGCCTTGGAAACCCTGTTCAGGGTCACTATGAGTCAGATTAACAGCCTCGGAAACCCTGTTCAGGGTCTCTATGAGTCGGAACCGACTCCACGGCACATAACAACAACAACAACAACATAGTGGATTGAATGAAAGTTTACAGGGCAAGATCATCAGCTTTATAATCAACAAATGATACACCTTGTTTTATTACAATGATTATAATCCCCTCCATGTACCATCAGTTAATGATATTTCACTGTATTCACTCTCTGCTCCCTTAAAGATTTACAGCCTCAAAAACCCTGTACAGGGTTGCTATGAGTTGGAACCTACTCCACGGCACTTAACAACAGCAACAACAAAAACAATTCACTTTAGCTTTAAACAAGAAAAACACTCAGGCATATATAATAATTTAAATCTCCAAAGGGCACATTCTGCAAGTCTGCCTCCTGGCCACCCGCTCTTAGTCCCTCTCTTGCCATTTGTCTAGAGTCCTCAGCCACTCCCCCTCTCCATGCCCCCTTCTCTGCCTCTATCTCTGGTGTCGCTGCTTCTCTGGATAAAGTCCCACATTCTGTTTGTGCTCTTCTCCTTTGATGGCCCTAGGGCCTTCTGTTTCTGGACTGTAAGATTAACCACTCTCCTGTTTTTGTTACACAACTTCTACCTTTACAATTGTGACAGTCGCAATTAGTCGTAATAACAATTATTCACTATTGAATCATACGAATCTTACCCCATCTTTTTACACAAGATGAAAACTAATCAGTGGGGACTCTTTCTTCCCCCCCATACTCTTAAACTAAACTCCCTCTTAAAACCTTGTAAGCCAGTCACTTTATGCCTTCATCGTCCCTCATTTTAGATAGCCAGTATCTTAGTTGCCCGCCCCTATCTACCCTGTGTACAGAGGGGATAGCATTGACACTTGATGTGAAGACTCTTTCCCTCTCTGTTGGTATTTAGAGTTACAACTTCCATGAGTATAGGTCAGGTTCATCAGATTGTAGCAATTTACCCTTGCTTCTTTTATCAAAAAAAAAAAATTTTTTTTTTTTGTAATCTTCCTCTAGTCGTGTTCTAATTCTCAAGTCATTGAGGCTAGGTCAAATGTGTACTATCTGCAAGTTTGGGTGTTCTTGTGTATCTCCCCTCACTTCATATCAGCTGGATGCTTCAACTCTCAGCTCTAGTCCTCTGTGGCTATGTCCTTGTCCATGGGCTCAAGTTTCCCCAGGTATCACCACACTTTGGACCAACCAGCCCTTCCTCTTCTCTCTCTCATCTCCAGGTCAATGGGATTCAATGGACTGTGGTTGAACTCAGCCCATTTTTTCATTGCTGTCTTTCCCCCTCTTCCACAGTAGACCAATGTGGTCACCAGCAAGTTTGCATGCCTGTTCATGTGCTCCCTTTGAGTTTCAGTCTTAGAGAGAAGTTTGTCCTGAAGGAACTTGATTGCTTGCCTTAATGGCTTCTTGGCGAACAGCTTGCTTATTCTTGTAGTAGCCAGTCATGCTGACATTTTTGTTTCGGGTTTTTACTGATGATCTTTCTTTGAAGGTGTATCTTCTCTTGCTGTAACTGTTCCAGGCTGGTCTGCTTGTCCTTGCTAGTGGGAATGTCCCACCTCATAAGGTTCTGAATGGTACTGCGGATTCCACCTACGGTCCTATATGCTGCAAAGGCTTTGCAAGAGGACTATTTCACTGGGCAAGTTCTACCCCTTTGAGGTATTCCAATCAGTTATAGACTGAAGACGGGCTTACAAGTCTTCTGTAATCATATTTCCCAACATTCCTTTCTATCCCACTCAACTGTCAATTTTATAATAGTAGGCAAGGGAAAGCAATATTCATAAGACAGCCAAGCATTTTAGTATCATTTCCCCTCTTCAAGCTATGACTAGATCCCTGTATCACACAGACCTGTTGTTCCAAGGTTGAGCATGTATCACTATTTACCACTGTCCCACTTAGGCCATGCAAACCTGTCTCAGTGTTCCCCTCTCTATTTTGTTCTTCTGCCTCCTCCCCCATTTTGTATTGCCCTCCCCAACACCCGAACTAAACCCCCCACCCCAACCCCTTGTTGTGGTTACCTTATATTCCCTCCATTTAAGATAGTCTATTTTATCCTGTAATATACCTGACTTTCCCACCACCTGGATCTCTGTTCCTCTGTGTTTACCTCTGTGTTTATCGCATTGTAATTGTTTTGATCATAGACCTGCCAGATCCTTTGTTCGTATAATTTTATTCTGTTCTTTACTTTTCCATTTGTCAATTGAGTTCAGGGTGATGCTGCCATGTACATCATTCTGTAGTTGTGGTCTGTTCTTGTTGGTTCTTAGTTCACAGAACTTCCTTTAGGATGTTTTTCATAGCAGGGTTGGCTTTGGCAAAATCCCTTAGCGTCTGTTTATCCTGGAATGTTTTGATTACACCATCGTATTTGATTGACAGCTTTGCTGGGTAGAGGATTCTTGGGTGGCAGTTTTTTTCTTTCAAGGTTTTATATATGTCTCCCCATTGCCTTCTTGCCTGTATGGTTTCTGTGGAAAAATCCGAGCTTAATCTGATTTGCTTGCCTTTGTATATTATATTTCTCTTTTCTCTAGCTGCTTTCAAGATCCTGTCCTTATCTTTGATTTTGGAGAGCTTGGTTATTATATGTCTTGGTGATTGTCTTTTAGGTTCTATCCATCCTGGGGTTCATTGAGCTTCTTGAATGCTTATCTTTTCACTTTTCAGGATGTTAGGAAAATTTTCTTCCAGAAGCTCTTCAACTATCTCCTCTGTGGACTTGTGTAATTGTTCCTATTTTGGAATGCCAATAATTCTTATGTTATTCCTCTTCATGTTGTCCAACATGAATCTTAGGCCTTCTTCAGATTTTTCATCTTTTTCTGTATTTACTCTTCTATCTTAGAAGTGTTGAGAGATTTATCTTCTAGATCACTAGTTCTGGCTTCTATCTCTTCAATTCTACTCCTTTGCCCTTTCAGTGTATTGTCTATTTCTGATATTCTGTCATTAATCATTTGGAACTCTTTCTGTAGGTTTTGAATTGTTTCCAATGCTCTATTTTATTTGATTGTTCCTATGGCACTTTCCTGACTTCTTCCTTATTTTTGTCAACTCCATTGTATAGTGTTTTGATACATTTTATAATCATTTTTCTGAATTCCTTCTCAGGCATTTCCAAAACCTGCCCATATTCCAGTATGGAGTGTAGGTCTCACTTCCAGCTCATTTGCCTCAGTCACTTTATCTCGTTTCTGGACACGTGCAGATATGGTCATCTGCTTCTGGGATTTTGGGGGGCATATTCGGGAGTTATCTGTGGCCTTAATACTTAGATGGGTGTGTATTTTGGTATTTTTTATGTTTTCTGAATGCCTCCAGGTAGATGTGATCAGGAGATGGCTTCTTTTTTCACTCTTCTTCCTGAGAAATTTCAAGATGCCACCATTGGTCATTGTGACGTAACTCAGGATTTAATTTTTGGCCCATTTCATTTTAGTCTGCCTGTCCCGCTCCACAATCCCTGTTCAGGCTCTTTTCCTAGTGATAAACAGTTCAGGGCCAGCTGTGCCATTTTGTGCTGCTGTTTGGTTTTAAGTGGAAACTGTCACTTTAAATTTCAAGGAGATCTGTGCACATGCATAATAGAAACCTCCGGGAGTGGGAGTTGGGTGTCCACTCACTCAGGCACCCCCTTAAGTCATCAGCATGGAGGTGCGTAAACAGCGAGAGACTAATCAACAGATACCAAAAAATAAAAATAAAAGAGCATCCACACCTTTATCTCCATGGTTCTTTCAGACATCTGCCGCTGCTCTGATCCTTCCCCCGCTTGGTTTCATCCAAGATGGTGGCTCCTGGAGAAGCTGAACGTCTTGAATTAGAAAGCAATGGATTTCTTGCTTCTGCTACAAATTCCCCTAGCTGTGAATCTTCCAACCTTCTAAATATTCCTTTATATGTGGTTCAGAGTTCTGGCACCATCCCCTGAGCCTGCTTGGTCCGGTATTCTGTGTTGTTGCTGACAGAGCTCCTCACTGCACTTCCACCATACCCGCCATCTTGTTTGTTCTTCCATGAGGTCCAAGTCATTCTTGAAGACCCTTCTAGAGGCCTTGAGGCAGGCACACAGCTTCAGGAAGCCTGACCCAGTGGAACATCAACAAGACCCCACAGATTGCTCTAGTGAGTACCAAAGGAATCCTCTGCCTGTATCAATTGTTCAGAAAATACAAGGAGCTCTGGGTTCCCTTCAGCTCAAAAAGCTGAAGTCACTGAAGGGAATAGATGATGCTCTTTCTTTTAAATGCCCAGTATGGAGCAAGACAGATGGATTTTGCTGATGGTGGTGGGGTCAACAGCTATCTGGCTTTCCCAGACTCTCATACACTCATCTGTATTTTGCAGAAGCCTTCTACTTGAATTCAGATAAGTTCAATGCATATTGACAGCTTCTCCACTATATTCTCCCTATTTTATAGAGGGTGACACTGAGACTCAGAGAGGGGAAGGACTTGCCCAGGTCTGCAAGGTGTGGAGACTGAATGAAACTAGAGCCCACACTGTTCTGAGATGGCTGGTGGTCAAGGGAAGAGATTTCCCCCAGAGTTACCCTGTCCCTCCTGGGTTCTGCCCTTGTCCAGTCATTCCAGACACACTCTCCTGACTCACAGAGTCCTTGATGGGCCACAACCACAGAGCAGCCTCATATCCCAACTCCGTTGTTGTTGCTGTTAAGCACCATGAAGTCGGTTCTGACTCATAGCAACCCTGTATAAGGTTTCCAAAGAGCAGCTGGTGGATTTGAACCACTGACCTGGTGGTTCACAGTCCATTGCTGATGCTAGAGCACCATATCAGCTGACCCCAAAGGATCCCAGGGCACTGTAGAGAGGGAAGAGGCCAGTAGGAGAATCAGGCTGTCAGACCACAAGCCCTCCAAGGCTTCAGTCTACCCAGCATCTGATCAGAGAGCTTCCTCGATGATACCTTTCCAGCTCCAGGGCCCTCTATTTCCTGCCCCCAGTGTCTAGACACAGAGTCCCCAAAGCCCAGCAAGGAGTAAATGACTTCCAACCCACATGCTTCTCACAGGTTGGTCATAGAAGATGCCAAAGGACCCGAGGTCACCCTGGAAATCTTGAGCTACAGCCTGCTGCAAGTCACATTACGCTGCAAACTGTATGTCTCACTCCAGGGGTGAGTGTGCAGTGGGTGCTTTCTTCTCATCCACTTGGGTGCCAGGCAGCCAAATCCCTCTCACTGCCATAGCATGAGAGATGCCATGCAGGGTCTCATGTCACCACAAGGGTCTCAATATTCCTTTTTACTTGTGCACATATCAAATCCAATTTTACTGAGGCACAGAGTGGGAGACCGGGCGTTGGTGGCTGAGGCTAAGATAAAACCCTCTGACTGTCCTGCCAAGAGACACACAACCAAGCTGAGGAAATGGTCAGGCAGGTAGATGAGCCAGGAGAATCTGAGAAGGGAATGGGACAAGCTCAGCTTGAAGTCCAGAAAACGGTTGATCCTTCCGTTTTCTCACCTATACAATGAGTGTTACCAGGTTTCTACCACATGAGAGTTTATTGCCAGAATTCCTAAAATGTGGCTGATTGTGCAGACCTAGATTTACAAATGCTAATAGCCAACCTTGTGTGGCAATGTGGGTTAATGAGCTGGACTGCAAAGTTGGTTTGAACCGCAAGGTCATTGGTTCAAGCTCACCAGCCATTCCACAGAAACCCTATACAGGGTGGCTATGGGTGGCTTGACAGCACTTAACAACAACAATAGCCAACAGAGGTGGTGATCTTGCACATTCAACAAAAATATCCTTATTTGTCACTTAGGACTATTCCTGCTCCTGATTTTCTTGTGAAATATCATCTTCTCGGCCTAGCGTCCCTTTTTAAGAAAGATGTGAGCACAAATATTTCTTTGATGGAGACAAAGGCACAGAGAGAAGTGTCTCTGCTATACCATAAATATATCCCTGTCTTTGTGATGACAGCACCATCAGGAGGCACCTGGTGGGAAGGTGGCCAACTGAGAAGCCTGCACTCCGTCTCGAGGTCACCTTCAACCCCAGGTGGCTGACACCTTGTCTAGTATTGTCAGAGCCTTAAAGCTTTCCAAAGTGTGGAATCCCTCTGCATAATGAAATCGCCCAGTTTTTCTGCTTTGAGCCCTCCAGGCACCGTGTGTCATCCTGAAAGCCACCAGATTGGGATCGCTGATCTCAACCTGGGGCTGGGGCTTGGAATCTGTCCCAGACAAGCTGTTCCTCTAGGATCCTGCGGCTCAAAATCATCAAGAATATCCGCATTGGGGTAGGGCTGGAACAGACAAGGAACAAGACTAAGGTGGTCCTTAAGGAGTGCTACACCCCTCCAGGATACCTGAGCATCAAGCTTCTGGAGACGTGAGTACGGGCCAGCCCCATGCTTCCCTGGGCAGGGGCAGGGGCAGAGGCCAGGCTTCCAGGCACCAGTCCTGTTGGAACACTCAGGGTAGGAGGCTACTTTGCAGTTGAGCTATTTATAATGACAAGGGGTGTCAGGGGTAAGTGGGTCTCCAAGACTACACATGCTGCCATGCTGGATGTCGTAACTAAGAGCATGGGCATACTACGTTCAAATCTTGGCTTGGTTATTTTACAGCAATGATTGGGCTTCAAGGAGCCCCAGTATCCTCACCAGTACCATAAGTTCACTCATATCACCCAGTCAGCATGGGTTCGTGATAGGAAAGAAATGAGCTACGTCATGTGACCCCCTTAGCACAGAACCTTATTATTATATTGTTGTTGTTCTTGTTAAGTGCTGTCAAGTCGATTCCGACCCATAGCAACCCGGTATAGGGTTTCCAAGGAGCAGCTGGTAAGCTTGAACCACTGACCTTGCAGTTCAAATGACTTTGCAGTCTGACACATTAGTCCACAGTGCCACACCAGGACTCCATTCTTAGATTAGTATATAAGAATATATATATATATATATGTAAATATATTATCATCAAGTTGATGCTGACTCCTAGTGATGCTGTAGGACAGAGCAGAACTGCCCCAGAGGGTTTCCAAGGCTGGCAATCTTTATGGAAGCAGACTGACATGTATTTCTACCATGGAGTAGCTGGCTGGTGGTTTGAACCACCAACCAAACCACTGTGCCACCAGGGATCCTTTTCTTAGGTTTACCCAAGGCAAAAGTCACCTCCTTCAGGAAGTCTTGCACTTTATGAGAAAGAGAAATAAAGGAACAGAAGCAGAGAGGGAGACTCAGGAAGAAATGAAGAGGAGAAAGAAAGCACAAAAAGAAAAGAGAATACAAGAGGAAAGAGAAGACAAGGAGAGGGGAGGGAAGGGAAACACTCAGAACCTCCACATCACATAGAGGTGTCCTCAGCTCAGACTCCATCGTGGTCCTCTGTCCCTAGGATAAATCCCCTCCTGGTGAACGAAGCCCTGGAGTTAGTGTCAAAAACCTTGGATGAAGTGCTGCCCTTTCTGTTGCAGAAGATAGTGAGTTTCCCACCCTCCCCTCATTCCCACCTAGGGTTGTAACCCCAAAGGAGAGTCCCATAACCTCATCCCAACCCCATTAAGGACCCTCATACCTTCCCTCCAGGTATGCCCCAAGGTCTCAACCCTCCTCAATTTACTACTGGAAGACCTGCTGCAGTTTATTTTGCGTACGTTGCTCTTGGCCAGGGTGGGGTTTGTCTTCTGTCCCCCTCTATGTGCCAGGTACTGTTCCAGGCTCTGGAAATAGACCAGGGTACAACACAGACCAACCCTCCTTTCTAGTGAGGAAGAGAAAGGGCAGTGTAGTTTGTGACCATGGTAAGTCATTTCTTCTCTTTTAAACCTCGGTTTCCCAGTCAGTAAAATGGGATTCATCATAGGCCCATTGAGCAGGACTGTTTAGAATAATACAAATAGCCTGCACTAAGTTGTTGTTTTTGTTGTTGTCAAATGTCATGAAGTTGGTTCCAAGTCATAGTAACACTGTATGTTTCCAAGGCTTGTTAATCTTTGCAGGAGCAGAAAGCCTCATCTTTCTCCCACTGAGCCACTAGTGGGCTCAAACCACCAACCTTGTAGTTTGAAGTATAATAAAAAAGTGTATTTATTAACTGTGCATACTTAATAAATTTCCATTACAAGAAGCACAGGCCTACCCTTCAAGGATCTTCAACCTAAGTGGAAAAGAACAAATGTCTCCCTACCCAAGGTCCCTCCACAGGAAACCTGGGCCCCAGTTTCATATCCTCATTGTAGCTCCAACCATCTCGGGTGCAGAGGACTTCCAGTACTACGTCATCACCACAGAGCTCATGAAAGACACCATCGTTATGGAAATCCTGGTGAGCCTGTACCTGGTCTGGAGGGTGGACAAAGAAGAAAATGAGATGGGGCTTCTCTGGAAAGTAGGTAGAGACATGAAGAGAAAGGAAAAGAAAGAGGAAGGAGAGAGCGCAAGAAAATGAGGTGATAGGTAAAGGCAAAGGAAGGAGCAAAAGTAGGGAAGGAGAATGGAGAGTCCCAAGGCAGCAGGTGCTAACCCCAGAGCGTTCTGCCTCTACCCTTGAGGGGAGGAGGAGACTCAGGGCTCCAGTGAGGGAGAATAAGGCTCTAACAAGATGGAAGGTGACCAGGCTGTTTGCTGACCACACAATACCCCAGGGATCCTCAAATGGGTAAACAAGGCCCAGAGAGGGAACAGGGATAGATAGCTACATTGTCTACCCAGCTCCCCATCCACAGCCCTTCCTTGTCCCCATGGAATCATAAGATGTGGGGCAGGAGGATGAGTGGGATTTGAGTGGATAGGAAGGAGCTGTTAAAGGCACAGAAAAGGGAATGTGGGTCAAGTGAAGGAGGGGGTGAGGGAATGAGGCTCATGTGTTCAGAGGCTACCTTGTGTGGGATCTTGGGTAAATCACGTCACCTCTCTGTTTCCTCCTCTGTCAAGTGGTGACAAAGATGGTTCTCATTCCGTGAGACTGCTGTGAGGTTCAGTTGGGACTGTGCCCAACCCTCACACATTGTGAGTCTTCATACATCAGCTATAAGAATTCTTGGCCAGGAAGGTGGGTCTCACTGAATTTCTCTTCTTCCATATTTCTCTGAAGCTCGTGACCCCTTGTGGCCAACACCAGAGAGTACAATGGCCTGACCACCAACCCCCTCAGCCTCTCCCCAAATTAGCCCATGGCAGCATGGCAGACCTGGTCTTCTGGCAGGAAGTCTACAATGGTATCCTCTCCTGCCTCTACACTAGTGAAGTGATCCACGTGGATGCCCAGGACCCCATGGTGAGTGCTTGAAATGGGGAAATAGTAGCACATAGATTTATTGCTCTATTTTTCACATGAAGAAACCAAAGTCCAGATAGTGACATGTCTAGCAGCGTGGGTTTACGCATGCCATTTACCCTCTGTGGACCTTACTTGGAAACTTCCTATTCTGACTTCAGAACCAACATAACACTTATCCATTCATTTATACAACAAGTTTTTATTGAGGAATCCTGTTGTGGCACTGTAGAATAAGCACTGGACTGCTCACCATAAAGTCAGCAGTCCAAACTCCCCAGCCACTCCTTGGAAACATGATGTTGTTGTTAGGTGCCATCGAGTCCGTACCAACTCATAGCGACCCTATACACAACAGAACGAAACACTGCCCCATCCTGGCCAACCTCACAATTGTTGCCACACTTGAGCCCATTGATGCCACTACTTCACCAATCCATCTCACTGGGGGTCTTCCTCTTTTTCTCTGACCCTCCACCTTACCAAACATGACATCCTTCTCCAGGGACTGGTCCCTCCACACTATACAGGGTCGCTATAAGGAGGAACTGACTCAATGACACACAACAACAACAATCAAAACAGAGGCTTCGGAAAGAATCTGCTGAAGCAGTTGAATTTAGGGCAGAGAGGTCATCTCAGAAGGTTATGACTACTTTTCTTTGGGATTCTAATAAAATCATGAAAAATTTTAAGAAAATTGAAAACTGCATTGAACAAGGTCAGGAAAATTGAACTAAGGAATTTTTTTCCCATCACAATGCACGTACTCAGTTTTCGAATGTAGAAAGGGCTGTCCTACAAGAATTTTGCTGGGAAATCATACCCTAGCCACACTACAGCCCCAGATCTGCCCCTTCAGATTTCTTTTTGTTCCCAAAACTCAAAGAACATTTAATAGGAACACAATTTGAATGCCAAAACTGCCATTTGGACATGGTGTAAATTGAAGAGTGCAAAATCTAGGGGGGAAGGGTTAGAGAAATGGAAACACTGCTCCCAGAAGTGTATAGGCCTAGATGGAGGATATGTTAGAAAATAACAGCTTCACATTTTAATAATTTTGTTTAAGAAAGGTTTTTATGATTTTGTACCAATAGTTTTTACTTACCCTCATGCACGTATACGTGTATGTGTGTGTTTATATATGTAGATATAATTTTGTTCATCCACTATCTCCCCATTACAAGGGCAGAAACTCTAAACAATGTACTGTGTGAATGGCACATTGTAGATGTTCAATAAATATTGGATGAATAAATAAAATCCTAAGATCCATATCTGGAAGAAGTTTAATGTTAGTGCCCTATTTTTCATACAAGCAAACCAAAGACCAGGTGGGGAAAGTAACTTGTCTAAGGATCAGGAAGAATTCTGCCCTTGTATTGTTCCTTCATCCCACATAGGTGTGGAAGTTCTGAGACAGTTAGAAATGAACCCAGTAATTCCATGTTACAGAAATTCATATGCCATAAAGCAAGGATGCATGTACAAGGATGTTCTTTGCAACTTCCTCCATTATATGGGGGAAATAAAGGTAACAGGTATGCATCAATAAAAAACTGATATCTATAAATTAGTTTGTGGTCATATAGTTTGGAATCATATGCATCTGTTAAAAATAATGGGAATGTTCTGTATGCACTGGTGTTAAGAGAAACAAACAAGGAACAAGACTAGAATGTTCCCAACTATTCATAACTGTTTGTGGTGGTGGTGGTTGTGCCGTGGAGTCGGTTCCAGCTCATAGCAACCCTGCATAGGGTTTCCAAGGCTGTAAATCTTTACGGAAGCAGAAAGCCTCATCTTTCTTCCACAGAACAGCTGGTAGTTTTGAACAGCTTACCCAGAGGTTAGCAGCCCGACTCATAATTACTCTGCTACCAGAGCTCCTTGTTCACAACTGTATGTGTGTAGAAAAAAGTCTGTTAGCATATACTCCAAATGGCCAACAGTGGTTACCCCTCAGAACAGACTTTAGTGGGGAAAGGGAAGAGGTGTTGGAATGAATACTTTTGTAGTATTGTCTATAATTGTTTGTGATTTTTAAAAATCAAGAAAACTATAGCTAAATGAGTAGAAATATGATTCACAAATCTAGTATAGGAAAATGTTAATAGCAGAATCTAAGTGATGAGTATACAAATGTTCTCTCTATAATTCCTTCAACTTTGCGGTGTGTGAGAATTGACTCAACATCACCCAACAACAGCCTACTGTGGAAATTTTCATATTAACACATTAGAGTGACATCATGAGAACAATACAAATTGAACCTTTCCAGATACTCATGCCAAGAAAGCAGCTGAATGCCTCTTTTCAGATGAGGCTGACTTGGCATACAAGTGGTGCATGGAGTCAGGGGCAGTGGCGTCTCATCGAGCCCCACTGAGGTCCTCAGCCTGTTCAAGATTCTAAAGTCCAGCACTTGCTTTGCTCTTTTTCAGGCTGTCGACCTCGTTCAGCTGTTGTGGCTGAGAGAGCTGGATCCTGAGCCCAAGGTAGATGTGTTCCCCAAATTTGTCCCCCCCAGCAACCTGGCCAGAGTCTCAAGAAAGATTCTGGGATGGGGGCTGGGCTGGGCCACATGGGAATGCTCCATTTAGCCAAGGTTTTCTGTTAAGGATTCTGCTAATCCCCAGCACCTACTTCACAAGGATTATAAGAATTAAACAAGTAATATACATAAGGTTCCTGGTTCAGTGCCCAGCCCAGGAGCCTCGTTGTGTGACCGTCACTATTATTCATCACTGAACAAGATCCCAACCTTCAGGCAACCCTCAGGCAGCCAGATGTGCACACGGTAGACAATAGGCATCATGCCCCTTCATATGCTGTTGTTGTTGTTGTTAAGTGCCGTTGAGTAGGTATAGGGGTTCCAAAAAGCAGCTGGTGGGTCTGAACTGACAACCTTGTGGTTCATAGCCCAGTGCTGATCCACAGTGCCACACAAGAAGCCCCTTCATATACATCAGTTTTATTGAACAACAACCTCCCACTATCACCACCTTTTTACAGGTGAGCATATCGAGGTTCAACAAGGTGAATCTCACATTATCCAGTAACGAGAAGCAGAACCAGAATTTGATCTCAGTCTCCTGACTCTAAAACCCACGTTCACTCTATGACAATACCATCTCTCAAAGGCTTTGAGCATATGGCACCGGTGGGCAAACCATAGCTGACACATATATCGTGTCTCTATGTGCCAAGCTCTGTTCTACAGTTCCTCACATAAATTCACTCATTTAATCCTCACATAATAACCTTATGGGGTAGGTGCCATTATCATTCCATTTTACAAATGTGAAAATTGAGGCACAGAGAAATTAAGAAAGTTGCTTTAATCCATACAGGTTATAAGTAGTAGCCTGGATATATGGCTCCAAAATTTATGTTTTTACGTATGGTGCATGCCCACAAAAAGGAAACTACTCCCACCTAAGAGAAGTTCAGGGAGAATAAGCAAGCTCCCTAAGATTACATAGCAAGTTTCTGCAGAGCTCAAAAGACAGCCCAGATGTCTCGGCACCTAAGATGGTCTTCTTCCCATCTTCCAAGAGGGTGCTGAGGAAAACCATCTTCTGTTCCTTCCTGCACCTTCTCTGTTTTAACCTCATCAGGCTTCTCTTCTGTCGGGAGAGAGCATGGTACTAACCATCAGCACGCCAGAGTCTCCTACTGTCCACCTGGACAACGGCATGGCCATGCTTACCCAGCCAGGCTCACTGGCGCTGCTGGGACCCAGCAACACCTCCTTCTCTTCTGTTTCCTGGGTGAGTGAGATAACATGTGCCTGTTTCATGGGAGGTGTAGGTCAGCTATGAGGTTGCCCTTCAGGGTCTGCGGACTCTGAGCTGAGCAGCAGCAAACTTCACAGCCGTGGAATCCAGTAAGACTCAGTCCACACCTAGACAGCTACACCTGTTGCTAAAATATTAAACTACTCAAACACCTGCTCCCTGAGTTCACCTCCAGGGCTCCCCCAAAGACTTCCTCAGCAGCCATTTGATGGGTGCCCTTGCTTTGCTGGTTAGTAAGTGTCTTATATGTCTCCCCTGGGCATTGAAAGGCCCGGTCCACTAAATGGGAGGAAGTTCAGAACTCTGTTCATGGAGGGGATCAACACATCTCTGTTTCTTTACTCTATGGGAGAAGGTGACCCAAGCGGCAAAGAAGCAAAGGCTGGGCTCTTGGAAGAGTTCTGGAGAAATATAGCCTCCAAAAATTTTGGTTGCTCCATTCTGAGTCCCTGTGGCATTTCTATTTCCCACCCCACGGACACTGTACTTGGGAAGGAAGTACTTCAGACAAGGGTGTTTGTGAACTCACCATCTCAGTGTAAACAATACATTCCAGGGTTCTTAATTGGCTTGACACTGTGGCCTGGAAACCCAGCCATCTCTGACTATTGGTGGAGCTCTGTTTCTAGCTTATAAAGTGACCGTGTGAATTATTGGGACCCACAAATGACCTCAAAATCGAGGAGTCCTTTGGCTCCCAGCAATAGTGATTCTACTGCTAAGTGGTCCTCATTGCAAAAGGCTTTCCACTAACTGAGCTAAGTCCCTTCCACTTGCATCCTACCCTATCCTCCCTTACCCTCCAGGGGTACTCTCAGTCATGGGTGCCCTCGACCACAAAAGCACACACACTCTTGAGCTCTAAACTGTGTGAACCAACTGATGGAGAAAGAAATACCCTGAGGTCATAGAAGAGGAGCCACATGATTGGAGGTCAACCCTGGAGAAGTACTCATAAGGGTGTTGCTGTTTTTAGGTGACTTTGAGTCAATTCCAACTCACAGCGATCTTATGAATAACAGAACAAAACACTGTGCTGTCTGGCACCATCCTTACAATCATTAAGCTTGAGCCCATTGCTGCTGCCACTGGGCCAATCTATCTTGTTGGGGGTCTCCCTCTTTTTTGCTGACCTTCCACTTTACCTAGCATGATGTCCTCCTCCAGGGACTGGTCCCTCCTGATAATATGTCCCAAGTATGAAAGACCAAGTCTCACCACCCTGGCTTCCAAAGAGAATTCTAGTTATACATCTTCCAACACAGATTTGTTCTTCTAGCAGTTCCTGGTACTTTTAATATTCTTCTCCAATGGTGGTGGTGGTGGTGATATGCCATGGAGTCGGTTCTGACTCACAGTGACCCTGTACAGGGTTTCCAAGGCGGTGAATCTTTACGGGAGAAGAAAGCCTCATCTTTCTCCCACAGAGCAGCTGGTAGTTCCAAACTGCTGACCTTGCTGTTAGCAGCCCAACTCATAACCACTACGCTACCAGAGCTCCTTTCTTCTCCAACACCATAACTCAAATGCATTAGTTCTTCTATGGTCTTCCTTTTTCACTGTCCAACTTTCACAAGCACATGAAGCTATTGAAAATACCCTGGCCTGGGTCAGGCTCACCTTGTTGTTGTTGTTGTTAAGTGGCATCAAGTTGATTCCGACCCATAGCGACCCTGTATAGGGTTTCCAAGGAACAGCTGGTGAGCTTGAACCACTGACCTTGCAGGTTTCCCTTAGGGGTGAAGAAAGTGCTTCTGACTTCAACAGAATTCTCTCTCCTGTTATGACCTCATTTTAATTTCTCATAGAAACTCCACTCGAAGGCTGTGTTTTCCTCAAGAAACCGGATATTAAATGTCCAGATCCATCTAGACAGGTGATGCTTTTGGTTTGTATATTCAAAAAAGCTAAGATGGCTGACAGAAAACGAGAAACAGACATGGCACAAGGGAATGTAGTTAAGGGTGTTGTTTCCATGCCTGCTGTCAGCTCAGGACAGTGGAGCAGTGTGTTGTGTGGAAGGAGAGGGGTTGGGAGGAGTCTAGTGGTAAAAACCAAAGACTTTGGAGTCAGCAGGCCTTGTGTTCAAATTCCAGGGCAGCCACTTCCTAGCTATGTGACGTTTGGCACACCACACACCCTGTGTCTCTGCTTCTTCATCTGTCCGGTGTGACTGAAGCTTCCTCACACTATTCATATGAGAATTCAATGAACTCACGTATGTGATATCTCTGTCAGGGTGTTAGGCACTCAACAAACGGCAGCCAAGTATTTTAGAGAAGAGAGAGGCTGAAGGCAGGATTTCATTGACTAAAAATTAAGACAATATGAAATCCCTCCAGCTTGCCCCCAAATGCCAATTGAGAGCATGAAGCCCGTGCCTATTAAAGGGGTTTCACCATGTCTGTATTAGGGTTATAGCAAGAGCCAGCTCTAAATATGTCATGTCACTTATTCCCCAAACAACTACTATGTGCTCAGTCTTCAAAATGTCTGAGAGCGAGTTCAGGGGGATAAAATAGACAGAACATTCGAGGCACTATTATTCCCATCAGAATGTTGTTGCTGTTGTTGTTGTTGTTAAGTGCCATCGAGTTGGTTCCCACCCATAGCGAACCTGTATAGGGTTTCCAAGGAGCAGCTGGTGAGCTTGAACAGCAGGCCTTGCGGCTCAAGATGACTTTGCAGTCCAGCGCATCAATCCTTAGTGTCACACCAGGACTGTAGGGTGTGGTTAAAAGGCATTCAGGAATTAGTATTCCCTCATTGAGACACCTTCCATGTGTCAGTCATTGTGCTTAGAACTTTACATATCTGGTCCCTGTACCAGGACTTTACAATATCCCTAGATATTGGTATTATTAGCCCTATTTAATAAAAAAAAAGGAACCTGAGGCTCAGTGAGGGAAAATGATTTGCCCTAGCTGGTAAGTGGCAGAGCTAGGATTTGAACTCAAGTCTGTCCAATTTTAAAACTTCTTATCCTGCTTCAGGGCTAACATGATTGGAAAAGTCTGTGACAGAGAAGAAACTTAGGTGGCATGAGAACAGAAAAAAGGGAGGGTGTAATCACCTAAATCTTAGCTGGCAAACAGAGAACTTGAAGAGATCTGTTGCCCCTCAATGCACCTGGGGCAGACAACTCTAAGCCGTCACTAAACCCAGAGGCAGCTTCAAAATCCATTCCCACACAGCCTTTGCCAAACATACCCGGTACACTCAAAGAAATGCAGTTTCCATCTCTGGTCTGAAAGAAGCTAGATGATTAACAAAATGGGGAGTATCAGCAGAAACCCAGTCATCGTTAGGTGATAGTCCCCTGGCTTCCTCTGGGCCAGGCTGGCAAAATGTTGGCATGGCCTTGGAGCTGTGTGCAGGGACAACTTAAGACCGAGAGAAGGACCCAGAGTGTTTAGGACTCAGATCCAACGTTCTGCAGGTGGACGATCAGACATCTTTTGAAAGTGCCCAGGGACAAGCTTTGTTTCTTGAGACCCCAGAAGCAAGGTGGTTTGTCTGTTTTCCAATTTGGGGGGGGGGGGTCACAGGGAAGGCACAAGTTTTCGTCACCAAGACCCCCTGCTCTATCTTCAGTGGGGGTCACTTTCAGCTGGAGGCCTTTAGCCATAAAGGGGGTAAGAGTGTGGTTTGGGGCAAGATCTCTGAGCTTCAGTTTCTCAAGTCTGTAAAAGAGAGCTATTGTTAGATCTGGGGATATAATGGGATAAAATGCCACAAACACACAAAGCACAGGAAACACTCAGTATACACTGGTTTGTATTGCCATGGTGGCAGTGGCAATTGTTTGGTGTGGGTTTTACTGCAAACTAACGTGGAGGGAGAAGGGACACAGTTGGCTCTGAAAAGACTCTGTAGGAGAAAACTGGTGAGGACACAGCAGACACAGGGTGTGTTGTGGGCATCATTCCCACACACAAACAGCTGTGAAATGAGCCACGTTGTGGGACCAATTCGATGAGATGGTTCAGGTCAATGTCTGCCACATAGCAGGTACTCTGATTTATGTTGGCTGCCATTTCTATCCTCAAGCTTCATATTCTTGGCCCTTTCACACCTCACATTTGTTCTTCAACAGGACACCGGGAGCAAATAGATTCCAGAGGAGATTATGCCTGCTGTACATTTGAGGGCACTGAAGCTCAGAGAGGCGACAAGGCTTTCTGGGTTCACACGGGGATTCTATGACTTGCTGCTCACTGAGTGACATGCCCAGAAAGCAGCTGCTATGACCTAAAAGAGTGATTTCTTTTCTCTAGTAGCACTACGGTGACCCTGGATGCCTACTCCACTGATCCCCTAAAGCAGGTAGGTCTCTTCCCTTAGTCCTGCCCTCCCTGTAGTCTGAAAATCTCCATGAACAGTCCTGGAAAAGGGCCGTGGCATAGATACTGAAAGCCTCATTCACTTCCTATCACTGACCTCATCTTGTTGTGTGGTTCCCATGCCCATTGATGGGGACAGGAGACATGAGGACATTTCACCCATTCATACATCTAACAAATATTTGTAGAGCATCTACTATGTGTCTGTCCCTGGCTTAGGTACCTAGGATGTATTGGTGCTCACATTCCAGCAGGATGAGCTCAGCTAAAAACCAACAAACTACATAATAAAGTAGACAGTATTTCAATTGCTGTGTATTTGATCCCAACACATGGTAACCCATGTGCTGCAGAGTAGGAATGTGCACCATAGGGTTTTCAAGACTGTGCCCTTTTCTACCGGTTGAAAACTGCCTTTTTGGTAGAGCTATTCAGCCAAACCACGGTTTGCACTCCCAACAGAGTTATGTGTCCCTTCTCCAAGGATCACCACCCCTGTGCTTCCCAATGACATCCTAAGATACTTGTACTCATGTAGCAGCATGTGGGTTTCTGCTGTAGTATCTCTGTCTGGGCCCTCCCTTTCCTTGGGGTGCTGTACTGCCCCCACTGTGGGTGGAATGCATGGTCTCCTCCTGGGGAGGTTGTTCCTGATCCTGTACTAGCTGAACTTCCACTAGCCCTGCCTGTTCCCTTCCCATTCTCCCAGACACTAGGGACATCCCAATAGCCTCAGTTCTGTGAGACTCATGCTTTAGTCCTGATGGAGGGAGATTGCAAGGGGGAAAACAAAACAAAAAAGGCTGAGTGAGAACATGTATTGAGAAGCACTTCGAAAATATCCCTATTCCACCAGGTCTCGCTCCATCTTTACTTCTATAGAATCTCAGGGTTGAGAAATTCCAAAGATGATCTGCCCAGGTTTTTTCTGTAATATCATTGTAGGATGGTTATGCAGACCAGGGATACCATGGATGGTTGAACAGGTCATCCAATGTACAAGGTGTCACATGTATGAGGAGTACCACCCCCATCACAGACAAGACAAATATGCATGTTTACTAATGTTTCCCACTAGATGAGAAAAGAGTGTCTTGAAAAAAGGGGGTCTTTTTCTAATCTCTCCAAATGGGTTGGGACAACCCTAATCAAGACCCCTTGAATATCCCTGTGGTGGAAAGCTCACTACCTCAATGAGACAATTCCTGGCCCTATTATAACTATCTTGGCATTGGAGAATTCCTCCTTGAACTGACCCAAAGTCAGTCTCTGGACAACTGTAGCTCTGAGGTTCCACAATGCAATTGGCTCCCCCTTCCCCAGGACTGCCCTGGGGAGTAGTCATTGGAATATAGGCCAAGGGCTTCTTTGTTCCAAACCCCCAGTCACTTTACTACTTTTGTCCTCTGTCTTGAATGCCCTATAAATGTTCAGTCCCTGAACTTCTCCTGATCCCCTGTGAGCATCTATCTGTGTGTTGGGACCTTCCATTCCTTTGGTCAGCTGACTCCACTGAAGTGACTTGCCTGTTCCTTTTATTTGTTGCAGAAAAAACATCTGGATACCTCTTTCTTGGATCTTCTTAGAAGGGTGTTTATGGACCAGTACAACAGTGAGCCACACTTTCTTTTTCATGTCCCACGTTCCATGTGGTTTGGGATAGCACGAGCCATTTCCCGATTGTCTGTACAGAGAACTGCAGCTGACTCCTGCCTGGTCTCCCAGGGTCAGTCAAGCAGAGCCATGAACTAGACAGTGGAAGCTGGGTAGGCGTTTTGAATCCAGGGTATGGAAGATGAGGAGGACGGGGCTGTATATGTCCTCTTCTTCATCTCTCAGGCAGCACTTGAGAAGTGAAATCAGTGGCCAGGAAGGACTTCTTGGGAGAGGTGGAAGTTAGCATTATGGATTATCAGGACAAGAGGAAGGATCTTCAGAGGGGATAGAACCCAAAGTCCACATTACCAACGCCTGCAGGGGCCAAGCAGGTAACGGACCAAGTGGAGCAGCCCCAGTGGGACCCATGGCAAAGTGTGGAGACCTTACTCTACCTAAGCGGACAGCTAACACTCAGCACAGTAATTTGTTGCCAGCAGGACACTTGTTTGTTTGTTTGTTTCATCTTTTGAGAGATGCCAGAAATTGGAGCTTTTTGAAACATCAGTCCTCTCTTTGTTGTTGTTGTTGTTGTTATTGTTGTTGTTGTTGTTAAGTGCCTTTGAGTTGGTTCCAATTCATAGAGGTCCCATGTAGGGTTTCCAAGGAGCAGTTGGTGAGTTTGAACCACTGACCTAGTGATTCAAACAGACCTTGTGATCCAGTGTTTATTCCACAGTGCCACACCAGGACTCCTCCCTTCTCTTTAGAAGTCAGTAACAAATTCAAAATTTTCCAGAGCAGTATTATCTTCATTTAGGCTTCCTCAGAAGCAGATAATAGCATGCAGGGAGTTTGAACTGCAAGGTTGGCGGTTCAAGCTCACCAGCGGCTCTTCGGAAACCCTGTACAGGGTCGCTATGGGTCAGAACTGACTTGAT